ATTATTATACGACACTTGGTGATGTTTTAATTAATTTTTATTTTAATTAGTTAAAAAAAATTCACGTGAGAAAATTAATAGTAAAATTTTGAGCGATATACACAATCTTCCACGATGTCACTCTCTCGACGTCTCGCATTAAACTGGGCTGCGGAAGCGCGATGGTTTGCCAAGTCCAAACAGTAATCTAACACTGGAGGGAAGCGTGGTCGAAATAATGATGTTTTCTATTAATTTTCAACTTTCCCTCATACTGTCATGATTATAATATAAATCATATTCTAAATTTGAATTTCGCCAACAAAGCTATTGTACATGTATATGGGAGAATACAAAATCATTTGCGATCTACTATACTTGGCGAAAATCGAGTGCTATATATGGGGTCGAAGATACAATGGAGTTCCGTAGAAGAGGAGGAGGAATCCTCCCCCTAAAATGCCTAAAGGGTCTTTGTTCAACACATTCACAAAATGAAAGTCCAGGTATATGTATAAGCGACGTTAGATTTAAGGATTGAAGGGTCGCATTCCCTTTTACGCAGGTCGAAAATATAAAAAAAAGAAATAAGAAAAACGCGCAGATGCATTTATTTACGAAATTGAAGGGAACATTCAACTTACCATGCCAATTGTTTTTTAATCGAATTATTCTGATCTTTAACATTAATTTCAATTCAACATTAACTATTTTTTTTATATTATGAAATTATAATATTTACCTGAAAATTCGTTACACACTGTATATTTATTTTTTTTTTGTATTACAATATTCACTACTGACGATTTAAATCTTAACTGAACTTTGATTATAATATAAATAAAGTGAAGTAGGCAGGAAGTAGAAAGTAATACCAACCCCCTATACACGAACGTTATTTGTAAATAATTTCACACTTCCGTTTGCTAATTTACAATTTATCCGAAATGAATTATTAATTATATAAAAATCTGATTTACAGTTTGATAGACAAATATATTTATATTTAAATAATAAATTATCCGAGTGTATTTCACGTAACTATGTGTCGAACAGAATTATTTTTTTTTTTTTAGGGGGGGAATGCATTGCAAGAACATGGCGCAAAATTTAAAATCTTAATTTTGAATCTACGTTTTAACAGTAATGAAATCTCAATTGTTTTATTTATATATTATTATTTAATTATTTTAAAGCATAATCATAAATAAAATAAATAAAATACATGTACTAAAAGTAAAAAAACGAAGTTTTAATTATAAACAATAAATATTACAACTAAAAATGAATTTTGAGTCACATTAAGTTTATGATTGTTTTCGAATTTATAAAAAAAAAAAATTTTTTTTTAAAGAAAGATTAAAAATTAAATCAAAAATTTTCAATTTAAAAAGTTAAAATAACTTTTAAATCTAATGTCATTCTAAAAACTATAATGTTAAAACTTTTTGTGCAAATTCATTAAAAATTATCCTTAATTAAATTTTCTTTTTTTTTTTTTACTAATATTCATAATGTTATATTTAATTAAAAGTTTAAGGATCGTAAATTTCAACCGTGTATAAAGACTGAAACGCCAAACAATCTAAAAACTTTTCAACTTGAAGAATTTTATTAGAATTTATAAATTTAAAAATCAAGTAGATAAATAATTGAAATTCCTATCAAATTAAAGCGTCAATATACATTTATATCGATTTTAAAATTTGTATTATTTTCATACAATTATATATAGACGAAAAAATATAATAGCGCAATTATTTAGAGAATGTTTTCAAAAAAGACGCGAGCTAATCTAATATTCAAATATTGGAATAGGAATTCGAGTAATTTTTTAATTTAAATTATTTTGGGAGGGAATAATACAAATGAACCTTATTAGCATATTAGATTAAAAAAAAATTCCAATTAAAAATTGAATTTAAAATTATTGATGTAAAAAAAAAATTTATATTATGTATTTAACATTTTTTAAATAATAATAATAATATCAGAATCAATTTATAATTACATAACTTGAAAACTTTGTCTAAATTAGAATTTTTGTTTTTTGATTAATTTTGTTTAATAATTAATAAATTCCAATTTTTTACTTTATATTATTTATTTATTAATTACTTGAATAAAAAGTTGAAAATTAATTGTAGTGCAAAAAATATGATTTAGAATAATCTTTTTTCTTTATGTTTTATCGCACAAGTGTAACTATACAGTATTATTCTTCGACACAAGATCTACGTGAGAAAAAAAAAACACATTTTTATTGATAAGAATGATATTTTTTTAAAGCTTCATTTTTTCATGTAAAAATATTATTGTAATATTATTTTACTATTAATATAATTATTTAGTTAATAAATCAACTGAAAGAAATTTCTAAATATTATATATCAATGAAAAATATTTTTCTATAAATATAATAAATTATTGAAAAATGAAAAATTAAATTTCAAACTACTACAAAAATTTATTTATCATCTTTTTATAAATGATGGCTATTTAATTTAAAAGCTATATCATGCGACATTCGATTAGTGATAGTTCTATTATTATCATCATCACATTTTTATTACGTGCAACAAAAGTTTATCGTCTTATTCTGACCCTTAAGAGCTTACCAAGCGAAAGTAGCAGTTGGGGATTACTAGAAATTATGAAGAGTAGACATAAAGAAAAGTTCTCATATGACTGAGTTTTTAAGAGTCAAGAGCGAAAAAAAAACAATGTTGAAAATAATATTTTCCCATTAGTATACTACCTTTTTATTATAATTAGTATTAAAAAAAAAAAAAAAAAAAAATTTGCTGACGATTAAGTTTTTATTAAGCGAAAAAAAGGAACGTAAATATTTAAAAAATCGTTCATTCAGAATTTAAATATTTTCGCTTGCTCTACATTTTTATAACTCAGTCAGTATATATATATATATATATATATATATATATAAATTTTTTTGCAATCGTTTTAAAATTGTTTCATATACTCAAAAGAATATTTGTTTGTTTAAAAACTTTGTTCCCCGTAAAGCGAAGTGCAATAAAAAGAAACAATATAAAAAGCTTTATAAAAACTGTAATAAAAAGAGTTTCCTCTTTGTTGGAGAAATATATAATAAAGCAGAAACGTTGATTAATTAAGATATATATCAAAATAAAAGAAAGAAAACAATTTTTGTCACAATTTTTCCTTTCTTATGCTATATGCATTTTATAAATCACAGATTTATATTTGGATCAGATATATTTACAGATTATATTTTGATAATTTAATATTAAAAATTATAAGAAATAAATAAATTCTACTTTTTATTGAAAAATTTTGTTTCTTTAAATTATTTTATTATTTAAAAAATTACGTAAAAAATTATTTTAAATATAAAAAAAGTTCCTATAAAAATATTCTTAACCATAAAAGAGCTTTAAAAAGAAAGGACGTGTGTTAAAAAAATGTAAAACTTTTTTTTATGCGACAGGATGACGATATAAGAGTACAGAATTTATGTTTGAAATAAAGTCATTGAATCAAAGAGAATCAAAGATTAGCATGAATTTTGAGTGAGGATTTGGACATGGTAGCCAGCTAGCGTAGTCGTCATGTTATAACTTATAACGTATGGCTGCATACGAAATGTCAGAGAAACCTGCAAACATTTATGTGCCCTAAATTTGCTAAGAGGCGTTTACAATTGTACTGTATAATTTACTTGAAACGAGCAAGCCTTTTAATGACATAAAATCACACGATTATATAATTGAGCCTTTTTGAAACGTATACATTATCCTTGAATTTTTCTAAGACTGTCAATTATTCTCCTTCTTTTTTCAATCATGAATGAAAAAAAAATTTTTTTTTCCTTCAGTACGATCACCTGCTGGAAAAATTCATATTTTTATATTTCTAAAAATTAGTATTTTTCAAAAAAAAAAAAAAATTATAATTATAATTAATACATATTATTAATTTTAATAATTATTGAATTTAATAAAATATTAATAAAAATTAATAAATTTAGTAATTAATTTTTATTAATATTCTATTAAATCCCATAATTATTAAAATGAATAATATATATTAATTAAAATTTAATTTCGTTGAAAATATTAAAAAATACAAAACAAATTTGCTTTGCAGAAGAAAAAAAAACCCGAAACCATCTATAAAGACGAAGGCATTGTATTACAACAGGAAATACGTCAGACGTAATCCTTTTTTCAATACAATTTATAAATCCTTTTAGTTCCAGCATCGTGCTGCAAAATTATATATAATTTAACTATTGATTAAAGCAGAATAAATAAATATTTAATAAGTAAACTGATTAAATTCTGAAATAGTAATAAGATATTTGCTTTTTAAAATAGCTGCCGTGTACAATTAAAGGGATTCTTATGTCGGTTAAGAGGATTTTATTTCAAAAAAGAAATTCTATTATATAAGTTAAGAGGATCCTTTAGGTCTTTTCGAAGATAGAAAATGATATACTTTTGTTTCATTTTTAGTAACATATTTCCAATGGATAATACCAGTTCAATTTATAGAATTTAACCCATATTTTTAAATTAAAAAATTCTTGTACTTATTACTTCCTCCGTAGAGGAAGTATTGGTTTTTAATTTAATAAATAAAAAATAATAATAATTTATAATTTATATAAAAAAAGATATGTGGTCCAATAAATTTATGAAGTAAATGAAAATATAAAATTAATACGTAATTATTTAAGTTTTTTTTACATTAATGATCATCTAATGATGTAATATAATAAAAATCAATACTTATTTAATGAAAAACAATATTAAAAATCAAAATAATCTAATTGTAAATAAATTAATAAAATTCAGGAACAATCAGACAAAAATTCTACAAGAAAAGTTACAAAAGAAAGAAAACGAATGTTTTTTTAAATTCTTTGTTCGATTTTATAGGGTCGTTAAATTTTAAAAATGATTAATAAAAATGAAAAGATGCTTTAATTAAAAATAAATATATATTACATTCGGTAGAATGGAATACTAAAATAGTAATAGAAATTACATTTATTTCTTTTTTTTCAAATTTTATTAATACTTTTTAACGAAAACATTTAAATTTCTATTCTTATATTTTGAAAGTAATTAATTATATTTCCTAAATAGAATTATATATTATAAATTTATTATTTCGGTTTATCCGGAAGACTGTCCAGACCCTGTAACGTAATTAAGAAATAATTACATATGTGAATTAATATAAATTTAACTTAAAATTTTTTTTAAAACAAATAAACAAATTTAATTGAGAATTATTAAATTCAAAGTTTCCAAATTTGGATGCAATTAACAATTTTTTTTGTTATTGTTAATTGATTATTATTCATTATTGATAAAAATAAATAATTTTTCATTTTAATCTTGCCTGTTATTATATATAGTTAATTATTAAAAATTTTTGAATTATATTCCCATAAAAATAATAGCACTTATTATGATAACAATTTTTGAAAATTTAAATATTTGTACAGTTAAAAATAATAGCGCATATTATATTATTCTAAAAATAATTTTACACTTATTTTAATTTATTTAAATATACTTACCATTGGTATATAGGGAGAACCACTTATTCGCTCATCTCGTACGAACATTCTTCGATCAAAATCTTCATCAAGAATCCTTCTATAAGGCTGTAAAAATAAAATAAACAAAAAATTTAAAAATCATTTTTGAATACTACATTCATGGAAATTTGTTATTTGAATAAAGAATTCAACAATAAGTAAAACGGTATTTTATAAATATTAATTTTCGAAATTACTTTGGAATATACAATGTATAAATTAGAGTAAAAATTAAATTATATATTAAACAAAAGTATATTACAATATTGAACTTATTGTTATGCAAATAAAAAGAATTCAGTTTTTAATGTAAAATTCTTTTACGGAAAAATAAATTATAAAAATAATTGAATAAATTTTCAATTAATGAAGTAAATGTTATATAAATGAACAATAAAAAAATATATATTTAAAAAATATAGATAGCAGACGAAAAATATACAAATAATGTGCAGAAAGGTTATGTAAGAATGATATACTTACGAATCCAAAAAACAATAAATGAAATCCTCTTGATGCTTCAAATCCAATAGTTAAAGCTCCAACTATTATAGCCATAGAGGGAATTGCTTCCCACCACATTTTGAATTAATGTATTCGTTAAAAATATAATTTAATCTCAATTAAAAACAATATATTTTTTTTTGTACGACTGCAAGAAGCTGTCATGTACAAGTGTATTGCTTAATGCGCATGTGCCAAGTTTTCTACACTGGGCATGCGATTCAATTTAATTTCAAATTTTTATTTTCTTACTTTTGAGATCAATATTTCTTAAAATATAAGGTTTATTATGACTGTTATCTATGAAAACTTGAATTAATATAGAAACAACTTTTATTTTATTGTAAATATTATTTATTATATTCTTATTTATTTTCCTATATTTAATATGGAGAGAGAGTTGTTCACATCTTTTTGAGGTTATATTTATTTATGATTTAAGCAAAATGTTTTTTTTTTTTATTATTTCATTGAATAAAAAAAGTTAAAATATCAAGGTTCATTTTATTATAAATTTGAACAAATTATAATAAAAAATAAAAATTTATCCGTAAGAGGGCTCTGTCTTATGAAATAAACTTCCGCTAAATTGTCTATACATATATTTTCTTTAGAAAATTTACTTAACTTTGTCTTTATTGAGGTTTCTGTTTATGTTATTTTTTTATTTCAATTTTTTTTTTTTTTTAATATACTTACTGTTTTGTGATGGGGTCGACTTTGATTAATCTGTATCAGTTCTGATTTCGTTAATCCTGAGAAAAAAAATATAAACTTGACATATGAGCCACAAAAGATAAAAGCAAATAAAAGGTAAACAATTCATAATTTTTACAAATATCACCACTCTACACTTTTATAATCAAAAAACTTTCAGAAATGTTTTTTAATTGAATTATCGCTCTTCTTGCGAACGTGCGTCTTTTGAAATTCTTCTTAGGGTCAATGTAAATTAAAATATTTGATTATTCAAAGCACGTGGTTCAATTTATTTTCTATTATTAATTATATTATTGTTTTAAAATTAATTAATTTTTGAAATGGTAAGTTCTTTTCTTTCTATACTTAATATAAGTTATATCAAAAAATTAGGAGTAAAGCTTATCATTTTTGTTTCATTATCTCATCATTTTTAACAATTGGAGAGATATGCGATTCACTACTGTTTTTCCATCTATAATATTTGAAATATTTCTCTGTTAAAAAAAAATCTTTAAAAGTTTTTTTTTACATTTTTACAATGGAAATTTGAGAAAAAAAATTTTCCAAGTTTATTTTTGACTCTATAAAAAATTATTATTTTTATAAACTATTAAAAAAAAGTTTTATTCTTTTAGAAATAATTTGAAATTGAAGAAAAAATTTTTCTTTAATTTATTTAAATATATAAAAAATTACTTTCTCTCTGTTCAATTAGAATTTTGTATCAAATTTTTCCAAGAGAAAAAAAATGTGTATTTTATTTTATATTCTGAAAATATAATAAAAACGTAATTTTATTGGAAAATTTCGTTTCAAATAATAAAAGAATTTTCTTTTTCAGAGTAGTTTGTACAAAAAAATTAAACTACCGGAAATGTTACTTAGGATTTACTCCCTAATTGTGCTAGCTCTAGATCTCATTACCCTTCTAGTGGGAATATGGTTTGCAATTTTGGTCGCTTGCTACAGAACATTCAAACCACCGCCTCTAAAAAGTCTCAACGGCGAAGTTGCAATGGTAAAAACATTTTTATTTTAAAGAGGGTCACTTGGAAAAATCCGGTATAAAAAAAAAAGTTGATTAAAACAATTACAAAAAAAAAAAAAAAATTTCCAAAGCGACATTAATTTAAAGTTTAATTATAAATTTTAATCATTAATAATGATTTTCATTAATTTTAATTTTAGTTCAATTTAAAGTTAAAACATTTTTTTAATTTCGATGAAAAATGTAATTTAAAAAAAAAAATGCTAGTTTTTACGTGAAACGAAAATTCTTTCATATAGAGTTTTTCGATATGTAATCAACAATAATAAAAAAAAAAGAATTTCATTGTTGTTTTTCTTTTGTGTGTTCGCCAGTGACCGATGTTTAAAAAGAATCAATCATTTGATTCAATATTTGAACGAATTGATTTTTTAGAGTCATAAAATATTTTTCTCTCATAAATTGATGGTTCTATTTGTCAATGGGGAGAATTGAATTTTTTTTTTTTTTTTTCATGGTTTTGAACATTTCTTACAGTATTGAAGCAATTTTTTTTTGTGCAGGTTATTGGCGCAGGTCGCGGTGTAGGAAGGGAAGTAGCTATTCAACTATCACTTTTGGGAGTTATTGTGGCATGCGTCGATATCAATCCTGAAAATTGCGAAGTAACTGCTCAACGAGCTTGTCAATTATCGGGAGTGGCGAGGCCCTACATTTGTGATGTTACTGACCAAAAACAAGTAAAAAAAAAAAAAGAAAAAAAAAAAAGAATCTGAAAACACTTTAGATGGTTTTTTCCAATTTTTTACTGCATATAATAAAAACCAATTCTCCAAATACTTTCTCAATAAGAAAATATATATTGCAATTAATTTAAAAATCTCACAAAATAAAATAAGCGTAAATTGGAAAAATTTTACAGAAATTTTGCTTTTATTTTCTTTTTATTACATTTCGATTTCATTTATTTATCAAAAAAAGCAGTAGTTTTTTTTTTATTTTAATTGAATTATTTTTGATACACTATATTTAAATATTTTTAGATAAAATCCGAATATAATATAATAATAAATAAATAAATAAATATTGAAAGAAATAATTGAATTCTATTTTATTTTTTAAAAGCGGAAAAATACGAAAATCTACAATAGAGTAAAAAGTAATTCAGATCCCTTTTTTTTCAAAACATAATATTCGATTGGTTAAGAATTAATTTTCAGGTTACCCAAATAGTAAACGATATAAAAGCTGAATTGGGAGAAGTTACGATGCTTTTACATTGCTGCGGTGTTCCAAGTCCTCGTTCGTTGCAGGATCCTCCGGAAATTAGAAAAACGATGGACGTATCGGTTTTGAGTCACTTCTGGGTACGAAACATCAAATTTCTATAAAAAATTTAAATTATATTTAATATTTATTTGTTTTAAACTAATTTATATAAAAAAAAATTTCTAAATAAAAATATTCCTTTATATAGAATTCAATTTAAAATAGATATAAATTTTGTTAATATATAAAAGAAAAAAAAAAGAAAAAAATCACCTAGCAAACGGAAATCCAGCTTTTAGATTCAGTTCTGCCAGGAATGCAACGAGTTGGAAAAGGTCACATTGTCGTTCTTTCATCAGTTGCTGGCTTATCATCAGGAGCGACTCGTGGAGGTGGAGTTCCTCTTTCCACGGCACAATTTGCAGTTCAAGGATTAGCGGAGTCATTGCACACGGAATTAAGACACTCAAACAGTAATATTATCATTACATTGATACATGTTTATCCATTTATTGTTGGTGCAGAAGTTGCCAAAGATCTTCGTCTCAGGTACTTTATATTGTAGTATATAAATATATATATATATATATATACATTTTAGAGGAAAAAGGACTGTGACCTAAATTCACAATATAGTTTTGTAAAAAAATTTGCAAATTAAAAGGTTCTTTCTCTACTTTAAAAGGAATTAATTTATCTTTTCTGCTCAGGATACCAAGTTACTTTGGCACAATGCCAGCGACGGAAGCGGCAAAAAGAATTTTAGATGGAGTGCGCCGGAATTATGCGGAATTCAGCGTTCCTGGCTATTTGCTATATCTTGGTCACATCTTGAGGTGATTTTTTTTTCATTTTCTTTTTTGAAATCGTTATTAATAAATATTATTAAATAGTCCTAGAATATACTGATAATAATGATTTGTAATTTTTAAAAATAATTCATATTTATATTAGTTTAAAAAAATTAATTTAGTAATATTTAAAGAAAGCTTAATAAAATATATACATACTTTTTAGAATACTGCCGAAGAAGGCGTCTTTCATGCTGAGGGATTTACTTGACACTGGTGTTGATTTTGGATGACGAAACTTTTTTTTTTTTTTTTTTTTTTTTTTTTTGCTCAGTTTAAAAAAGATAGTTCAATTTTCAATATTCCGGTTTTTTTTTTTTTTAATACTTTTCGCCAAATGAAATTAAACAAAAACTACAGTTTAAAAAATGTAACATTGTATATCATTGTGTAACAAGATACACACAATTCTTAAGTTTACAATCGAATGTTCATTAATTTTATAATAAATATATTTTTTTACAATATTTTATCTAGTGTCTAAATTCATAAAATATGTTTTGTTTTTCTTTCTCATTAATGTTGAACCAAATTCAATTACTAATTTATGAATTGAATTTACTATAAAAGAAATGTAGATATTTTTTTTATGAATAGAGCATTTCACATTTCAAATTAATAAAATATAGAAAATAGATTGGTGTTATAATGGCATTTAGTGTTTTTGTTTATCGAAAAATTGTTATCGATATTCGAATTATTTTTTATGCGTATATAACATTTAAAATGAAATCAATCTAATCCTGGAGGTGCCGGTTCTGAGGGATCAGTCTCCATTTTTTCCTCTATTGGAAAATCTCCTGGTGGGGCCTAAGAGATAATTTAATGTATATAAATACGATTAAATGAATGAAACTAAATATTAGAATAGATTTTATAAAAAATCAAACTCACAATATCGAAATTGTCGTGTGGATTCCCGCGAGAAAAGTCTTCACGCACAGTACCTCGTATTGCATCCATTTTTAACACTGGAATATGTGATTTCTGTAAAAACAAAAAAATATTTATTTTGTCTAATCGAAAAAAGAGGCTCCTGAATTACTATAGAGTCTAATTTGTTTTTATTTTAGACAATAATTTAAAAAGAATAATTACCTGATTTTCAGTAAATGCATCAATATGCGCCAATAAAGGTTTTTTAAGACCTGGACTCATTTTCAAAGCATCAGCTAATTGCACGTGAGTTAATTGCAAAATAACTGCAAAACTTTGAGGTTGAGTTCGTTCACAACATTTCACAAAACCTTCCCAAACTTTTGGATATTTCCACACTTGTTTGACAATCAAACGTTGGAGAATATTCATAATGAAACCACTTAAACGCGGATAGAGTGATAAACTCTGAATTACTGTTCGCATCAACAATGTTGGCAATGGCGTTATTTCCACTAGTTCTCGAATCACCAATGCAACTATTTCTTGACTATAAACTTGTTTCTCAGCGAAACACAATGATGTTGCTGAAAAAATACACACAAAATAGTTGTAAAAAAAATTATATTTTAAATTATTAAAATATAGAAGAAATGTTAAAAAAAACAATAAAATTGTACAGTAATTAAATTAAAAATTTAAAAAAAATCAATAATAAATTAATAAAATAATTATTCCTTTTTTTGAAAATTTAAATAAATATTAAGTTGTAAAATGAATAAATGAACGAAAAAAATGAAAATTAAGAAATTAAACAAAAGTAATAAATACCTTTAATAACAGTTTTCAGTTCAGCTTTGGCGGGATCAATCGTATGCAAAGCAATCAATAATTCAGCGGGTGTAACTGGGGATGTATGTGGAACTCCACTTTCGTTATTATGAGTTCCTAGTAACCTGTTAAATACCTGTAATAAAAATTTACAATATAAAAAAATTATTCAAACAATTTACAAATATAAAATTACATTATTATTTATATATTTTTTTTTTTTTTTTTTTTACTTAAATTTATTGAAATAATTTATTAAGTCTTTTTACCTCTTTCACGACAATGGGATTGAGTTTGATAAGTTTGGGCAAGGCAGCAATAACTTCTGTTTTTGTTAGACCATTTAAAACTGGTATAAGAAATCGCACGTCCGATACACGTGTTTGATAAAGTTCACGAACTCTTTGTACCAATTCGGTACTTGGTGCAGCTGTAAATAGAAAAAAAAAGTAGAAACATTAATTTTCTCTTCTATTGAAAAAAATATTAATATAATATTTTATTTTTTTTTACAATCACCTTTCTCTGTGAGAATATGAATAATTCTCGTCACCAAAGTTTCAGCTCCTTTTGGACAATTTTCAACAAGAGCCAATAATTGTGGACTTGCCATACCTAATAATCTTACTGGACTTTCCACTAATCGTAGAACTATTCTTTTTACATCCGCTCCCATTGAAGTGTAAACTCTCGCTAATCTGTTTGAAAAATAAATTTTTATTTCCAAAAATATACAGTTTTTGTTGTTGCTGAAAATTTTTTTAAATTATAAAAATTTTAAAATTGTGTTTAAAGAATTCTTACTCGTGAATCAAAATTTGTTGTTCAGGCAAGAGGGCAAGATAAAGTCCAAGACAAGCTTTAGTTGTTGATTCTGTCCATTTTTCACTTAAATTTGGTCGACCACGATCTATTCCGAAAACAATTTCCGGAGGACTTTGCAATCTTAGAAAACCTAAATAAAGCATGGCATACTCTCCAATCATAACTTTTAATTCTGGTCGACCGTGTAATTCCACTACTAAATTGATAGCTGTCTCACGAATCTAAAAAAAAAAAATTATAAAATGATTTTAGCAAATTTTACATATTCAATTGTTAATTTAGTAAATAATCCAAGAACTCTAATTAAATGATTAACAATTAAAATATTAATTTTTTAAAGTAATTAAAATTACCGTATTGCTCTCGTGTCCAGTATGGCACAAAATAACATTTAAAAAGTTAAAATGTTTCGTTGGCCGTCGAATGCTCAGTTCTTTTAGAAGATTCAAAGGCGCTAATCCCCGATTCTCTTCCAATGAAACCATTTTAAGAGCCTCAATAGCATCGTCCGTGATCGATGGTGCTTCCAAATAAATCCTGAGAAAAAATTTAATTAGATATGTATTTGAAAATATTTTTAAAAATAATAAACTAAAAATCTTTTTTTTATTTATAACTTACCTAGATAGTAGTAAATCACGATCACGTCCAGGAACTGCATTAATAGCGTGCACTAAAGTGCAAAAAAGAGAATTATAAGGTTGATGTGGCGCTTCCTGAGGTTTTGAACACAAAGTCGTTCTCCGTTGAAATCCTTGCAATAAAGCGTATTCTTCATACAGCCAACCCAAGGCCAAATCTAATCGTGATCTAACGTCATCTGTGATATATTGAAGAACCGATCTTCGAATATCCGGATTAAAAGTCGCTGCGACTGTCGTTAAAATCTTTGCTCTAGAAAATTTGTATTATCAATTTCCAATGAGGAAAAAAAAACTATTTTAATAAAGAAACTTTAATCCTTTGAGGATGAAATTTTTTTTTAAAAAATAACTATTTTTTACTTTTAAACAAGATTTTTAGCAGGTCTTTTCTCTTAAAACCAGAGTTTGAAATTGAAAATTTACTAGAATAAATGAAAAATATTGATCCTAAATTCAGTTTTAAAAATCAAGGAACTTATGCTTGATAGCATAAAAAAATGTTCTTGTTGCCTGATAGCAACACTAGTCCTCAAAGGATTAAAAAATGAAAAATTATTGAAACATTAATTTGTTCTTTTGATATTGAAATTACCTAACTTCGGATACACCGCCAAGAACAGCGACCTTTTCGGCGTTTAATATTCTGTGCACTGCCATCAATAACATATTCTCTTTAACATTCCGACTGAGTGGTTTCGTGACTTCGGAAAACTTTAAGGCCTTCAATCGACTTCTTGCTTTAGCCAAAGACTTCTCATGCGCTTCTAATGAAGCCTTTGCCTCCTTCTCCTTTTCCCTGTCCTTCTCGCGTTTTCGTTCTCTCTTCGCCTCGGCAACAGTGATGGTAGGATTTTTTATCAAATCCTCCATAACCGCGTCTTCATCTTTTGAATCTTTCTTGTTCTTCTTAACGATGGCTTGTTTAATTTGAGTTGCAAGCAATTTGGCAATTGTTTGTCGTTGAATAATAATGTCTGTCGTTGCTGTTGGTTGATATTCCCGTTGAAAAATTTTCGTCATTGTATCGGGAACCCAAGCCTATTTTATATTAAATAAGAGAATTTTTTTTCTTTTAGTTCCTTTTATTTTTCAATTGAATTATTTATGGTAGATGATAAAAAAATATATATTTTTGAAATTACCATACTATCCATAACGAGATCAGAAGCAATTTCAACGCTGAGACGTTCGGCGATAAAACTTTCAGAGAGTTCAACTAAATCCGGCATTTTTGGAGGCGGCACTGGAAGGGGAACGGGTTCCAGTTCTTCTACGGGAATAATTGGTGGATCTAGTTTTGCACGTTTTGCCGCCGAATTCGCTGCATTTTCCTATTATAGAAAAAAAATATTAAAAAAAAAAAAAATTAAAATTAGTTTAATTAAATATAAATTTAAACTTCTTTACTTGTAAACGTTTTTTCATTCTTCGAATATCCTCTGGTTTAGGATAAGCTTTAATAATTTCTTGCTCCTTTGCTCCTAGTTGTGTCAATTGTTTTGCTATTGATTGAGCAAATTCAACACTTGCCGGATGTTTTAATAATCCAAGAAGAGTTAATTTCAATTGTTTTTGTACACTTGTAACTTGTGAGTCCGATAATGTTGGCGGCAAATCGTGTTGTAAATGCTGTAAGGCTGAAAAAAAAACAGTTAAAGAAATATTAATTACATTTTTAGAGAAAGATAATTTTTTATTTAAAGGAACTAAATGTATTGAAATCTAAAAGAAACCTTGAATAACGTTTGACATGAATTGAGGTCTTGTTTTGGCAACAAGTGCCAATGATCCCATGCATGTCATTAAATTCACGCTACTAACGTGAGGTGATCCATGAAATTTAATTAAAAGATCCATAACGTGATTTGCTTCTTCTTCCAATTTTCGTCGACGTGCAATTTTTAATGTCAATGGAACATCTTCAAGTGAAAAATCATCGGGCTTTTTTGGACTATCTGGATCTGGATAGGTTTGAATTAAAACAACTCCTTCGAGAAATTTCACGGCCTGAGTTCGAATTCTATGAAAGACATTACAGTAAATTTTAATACTATTCTAATTTTATAGATCTATATTTAATCATAAGACAATTAAATTTCCCTTCAATTAAAATTTATCGTTAAATTGATAATTAAAATTGAAAATTAAAAATATATTTTATACCCATCATTATCGCTGTCAATCATGTTTATAATCTGAACTTTGAGCTTGCTAAGTTGTGTCCAAGCTGTTTCCATATCTGAAGTAACAATCGGAGCACTTGCAACCCATTTTAAGGTGGCTCTAAGGATTCTACCGCTTGTCCTAAGAGCTCTCTTTGCGACAGCCGGTGCATCGTCAGCCACTAATCTCGAAAGTGTTTGTACTAAACGTGGAATGACCTCGGGTTGCTTTTCTCTAAAAATAAAAGAAAATTTAAATAAGACACAATTAAAAAAAAGAAAAAAAAACAGAATCAAGTTTACACGCAATTTATAATTTAGATAATTAAAAAAAATATTTTTCATTGTAAGTGAACTATTAAATTGTCATTTAAAATAATTAAATTACCCAGCTTCTTCTATAAATCCACTAACAGCTTTTCTCACTTCCGCATGTCTATCCAAAGAAAATTGTAAAATTTCTTCCAAATAAATATGTAACAATTGGGAATCTTTATTATTAATAACAACCTCTTGTAATTTGCAGAGATTTGTTACTTTGGTAGTTTCATCGGAAGATATTGATGCCTCATTGATCCATTCAATCACCTATGAAAATTAATTTACCTTTAATTAATATTATTTATTAATTTCAAATTTAAATAATTTTATACAAAATATAAATTTATTAATAGTAATTTTACTTCAATAAATAAAAAAAAATATATTTATACAAAATTCTGTTTTTTTTTTTAAATTTTGTTAGGTTAAGTTTGACAATGACAACTGTCAGGTCAAACAAAAATTGAAAAAAAAGTGTTTGACGATAAATTTTATACTTTCCCGTTGTTACGCTTATTATTAATTTATTTTAATTAAAATAATTGATAAATCTTAATGAAAATAACAATAAATAATCCCGCTTATATTGTATCTGTATAAAAAAAACAATTCGTCTATATGTTTGTAAAAACACGGTAATTATTCGCTGTGATAAAAAAAATACTGATAATTTCGCCCCGTAATTGAATTAAATTGCATATTTTTTATTAGTTTTTTAAAAAATTTTAAACAAACAAACAAAAAAAAGAAATTTCTTTGAACTTTCTAAATTTTCAGGTTATGTCACTGACCAACTCGGAGGGTTCTTTTTCTGGCTCAGGCCGTCTATGTAAACGAGGATCCATTATAAAAACACTTATTACATGTGTAATAATTATTAAAATAAATAATAATTAAATTCCCCTTTATACATTAAATAAAAATATCTACTCTTTTAAAAGCAACGCGATGTCCCACATATTATTCCCAAAATCCTATAGAAATGTTGTGGTGCGCATGTCCGGACACGTTGAAAGGGCGCATATTCGAGAATTCGATTATCGAATTCAGCTAAAATATTTTTTTTTTTTAACAATTTTTCAAATAATATAAAATTTCTTGTAAACATCACTTTTTAAAATTATCAACATTTTATATTTTTAAATATATAATATTTATCTTATTTTAATTTTTATATTATAACGATAATTTGAATATGATTGAGTCATGTGATCAACTAAATATATCGATTGATATCGAATTGAAATACGCGGGAAGTAAAGAAGAATGAAGTAAAATAGTTAATAATAATTGGTGGAAAATTATCATTAATTTGTCAGTATTTAATCATATCATTTATAATTATTAATTATAAGGTGATGATCTACAGTAAATTATTGATCATGTATTACATTTACATTAATGAAAATCAATTATAGTTAATTAAATTTATATATTTGTTGATATTGGCTTAGTTTAAAATGCTTATTATTAACATTATTACTATTCGAATTTTAACATGGAGAAGTAAAAAGAAGAAAAAGAATATTTTAAAGGTTAGTTAAATTATTTTCTTAAATATTTTTTAGCGTTTTGAATTATTAAAATAAAATTTAACATTATTTTATAAATTCATTGAGGTACCTAAAAAGGTTATATGAACCGTTAATTTAATTAAAAAACTTCATTGGCAATTGTAAAGCTTAAAATTATACAATAAGATTGTTTGAAAATATGACAACTATAATGTAATTTATATATGAGAATGTAAATTTTTAATTATTATTAAATAAAAAAATGGAAACATAACCTATATATTACTGTACAAAACATATTTATTAAATAATTTAGAGCGTTACACACAGTGTACATAATACAAGCTTTTTTTCATATGCTGCTACTTGAAAATTTTTTCGATTTCTCTAATGTTATATACAATCACACTTTAATTTTTTTTTCAACATTTCCATATTTTGTTTACTACAAGCGATATACTTTGTCTTGAATTTTGCTCAAAATTTCATTTTACACTTAATATTAATAGACTGTCTTTTTTTCTCAAATCTAGTTTTACAAATATCTTTTTTACATCGCAAAATCATTGTTGAGCAAAATATCAAGTCTAAGTTACCAAATTATGGGTCTTCAAAGTATTAATATTAATTCAGCCACAAAATATTTGAAAAATTACAACTAAATACACTCAATTTTTTTTTTTACACACAATCAACATTTATAATTTAAATTATTAATTTATTAATACATATTATTGACAACTTTTACCGACAATAATTAATTTTTTATTTGAGAAATTACTAAATTTGTTTAAAGAATTGTAAAATTTTATTCTTTTTAATTTAAAATTATTTAATTTTTTTTATTATTTAATTGTAAAAAACGTTTAATTAACAAAAAAGTAAAATTTACTTTGAAGTCCCACTAGTCTTACGACTCTTAAACATATAAATGTAAAAATTTTTTTCAACCAATAACGTTCATGCTTAACTTATACATATATATATATATTTTTTTTAAATAGTCACATGGGATTAAAAAGTTTTTTCTTCAAAAATATTTTTTATACAACATCATTAATTTTTAAATAAAAGTTCGATCGTCCATTTTTTATAAGCATGAAAGTTGTTGGTTTCGTTAGAATTATCTGAATTGTAAATATTACACGTACGGGTCGACGCTATAAGTAATTAATGGAAGAAAGGGAAGATTCCTTTTTGCACTTGAAAATTAGAATTATTTACACTTTATAAATAATATATATAATTATACGCAAAAGTCGATAAAAATTATTCCAAAGTTACAAATATTTTTTTTTTTTAGTTGTTGAAAATACTTAATGCCAGTGCTAAGTCACTTTGTTCACTAAAATTAAATTATTGCATTAAATTAAAACTACAACTTTTGTTTTAATTCTATTTTTCGCAGTAAAAAAAACGTTGTCTTTAAGTAAAAATCATGTCACAGTTTCAATAAAACTTTTTTAAATTTGATCAAAAATTAAAAAGTATTTGCAATACTTCTTGAAAATTGAAAATTTATTCAATAGTTCTGTAAAATAAAAAATTATTTTTAAATATAATATAATATTGACGTGAATCAAGTAAAATTATTTTCTAAAAGAAAATGAACCATCATTTTCCTCAATTCTTTTTTTTTTTTTTTTTTTTTTACAAATATTGGTAATTGACATTCAGAACATGAATTTCCATAAAAATCTCAATAAAATTTTTTTTGATTAAAAACAAAAAAAAAATTTACTAAATACGAATTTATATAAAAATTTCAATAAGAAATCTTGACAATAAAAAATGTTATATATTTAAAAATTTCTTTAAAAGCGGTACTTCTCATGTAATTGTAAAACTTAAAAGATAAATGTATATGTATAAATTTGTCCTCCTTTGAAACTCAATTAGCAAAACGACTTAATTGTGTTCAATATATGAGGATAAAACTGTCAAGATTTTTACTTGACAATCTCAGTCTTCAAAAAATCAGATTGAGACGAGAGTGGTTTAATCACTCGAGTATAAATATAATATATATATATATATTAAGATGTCAACTATCAATGCTAATTATATAGCCATTTTTTTCAATCAGTTAAAAACTAGAGCCGATTAAAAAAAAAATGTCACTATAATTAAAATCAATATTATCCTGTCATAATGATTAAAATCAATATTCTTCTGTTACTAAGAACTGAGAAAGTCATAGAGATTTGATTAAAAAATAATTTTTACAAAATTAATCTTATCACGATGATAAACGTTATTAAAAAAAAATTCAAACAGATCAGCTAACGGCTCTTTGGAGCTTGCTTTTGCAGTGATTACATTTTCGTTTTAATTTATCTCAACATATCAGACGTGTATTTTTCAGTAATTGGCATTTGAGAAAAATTTGAATAATAATCGATAAAAAAAATGAATTTTCCATTCTTTGTAAAGATTATTTTTTTCTGTAACTCTTTTGAAAAAAAAAACGAGAATAGCTAAGAAATTATCGATAGATTCTGAATAAAAAAAAAAACATTATTTCACAAAAACGGATAAAAATGGCTATATTAAATTTTGTTATTGACACTTATTTTTAAAATGTTAACAAATTATGAAAATTTAAATTAATTTAAATGTTCATAGAATGATAAATTAACTTTAGATTATTAAAATTTATAAAATATTTGAAAATTTATATTAACTTCAAAGAAATGACAAAAAAATGAATAAAATTAGATTAAAAAATACTTCAAAAGAAACATTATTTTTTCTGTCTGTTTTTGTGAAAAATGAAGATTTTTCCGTAACTTTTCAGTAATAATAAATTTTCATTTAGAATCCATTGTTATTTCAAAGTTGTCAAGTATGTGAGAAATTTAAATTAGATAAAAAAAAAAAAAAACTGGGTTTTAAAAATTTTTCCACAAAATGGAAAAAAATGTTAAATATTAACGTTTGCTTGATGCAAGAAGTTCTTGGCTTGATGTAAAAGCGGGCATTCGAATAGAAATTATTAATTAAATTAGATAAAATTAATCAAAAAATGGAGGACACATGAAATGTGTAAAATCTACTAAAATTAATTCACCTTTGGTACCCGAAAAAAAAATTGAACATTCTTAAATCTGCGCACGATCATAAATGTTTGCTTAAATATTCAATGCATGTTGAATATATGTATGTATAAGTACTAAGAAATATCGGACAAATGGAATTTAAAAAAAAAACGAGATAAAATGCGACAGAAAATTCTTCCCATCACTTGGCCCGTAATTAAATGAGTTTCTTTAAATATCTATGCGTGGTCGATATTGTAACCTTAATGGTGGATCCCGGAACCTCCATCTCGTTACATATACAAACTTTAACGTATGATCCTTCCCTAACAGCTCATCATTGCACAAAATATCAATCTGAAAGTAAACATTTGATAAGAATGTATTCAATTAAATAGTGAAAAAGAATTAGACAATATTTTTTTTTTTTTTTTTTTTGTACAAAATTTACCGATTCCCGTGACTTGAAAATTAAAATATTTCTTTTTGTAAAAACAATAAGGAGAAAGATTGTAAATAATTTTTGCGAACAAAAAACACTTACATCTCGATATTTTTCAATTCCATTTAGAACTTTTTTCGCTATAAATTTCTTTAGATGAGTTATGGTAGCTTGTGCGGAACATCTGATAAATCTTCGTCTTAATGTCTTTAAGCTTGCATTCATGCACTCCAAACAAACATTGACCTGTAAGAGTAAGAAAAATTTAATACAAATTCATGCCTTATAATAATGATATTAAAAAATAATTATCGTATAATTTACTTGTTCATCCGCTCGATGATAATCAGATTCCGCGTGTGTATCGGCAGAAGATTTTTCCTCTTCCATTTCACCAGCATTTGGTAAAATGTCCTTGGGACAGGACAATCCACGTGCTCTGTAGAATTCTCTTTCCCTTTTAATCTCATCTGCCGAAGGCGAAATAAAAATAAAACATTTTTAAATAAAATTAATTTAAAAAATTCTAAATATCTGTTTGAAAAAAAGATTTTTTAAATTTTTCTATAATTAGTAGTTTTTTTTTTAAACGCTGTGTCTATTCAGCCCGCTAACGGGAGGAAAAGTGGCGATAGATTATTTAGCCCGCTTATTTTAAAAAATCACCAAAATGAGAACTATTTAGTTTGCATTAAGTATATTTAAAATATTTTTTTTTTCTTATTAATTTATTCTAGAATAATATAATATATTTTTTATTATATAAAATGTATATTAAGTGTAATTATAAATAAGGCAATCGTTTATTAAAATATATTAATGTGATTTAATACAAAGTTTATTTGCTCCAAAATGAATTGTTTTGGTAGGGTAGTTTATTTAAAATATATTATATTATTTAATTAAAGTTGTGGTAAAAAAACAATTTTTTGTTTAAACCAAATTTATTGTAAGAAAACTGTTTAACAACAGATATATTTATTTTCTAACAAATTATTAGAAAATAGTTTATGGAATTGTTTTCTATTGAAACTTTAAATTTGCAAATAAAAATTAATTTTTGAAATACAATTAAAATTCTTTTATTTTATAAATACGTATGGGGCATTCCACGGGAAATTTTAATTTAAAATTTTTTTTGTCCTAATCATTTTTCTTCGAAATCTATATGAAAAATAAGAAAATACGCATTTTTTAATGTTTTTATTTGATGAACATGAAGGAAGTTATGATTTTTTGAAATTTAACGTCAACAAAGGAAGCGTGTTTTTGGAACATTTTTATAAAACTGAAGTTACCAACGTTGATTCAACGAAAAAAAATAAAAGTTAAGGATTCTAATTCCCATCAAGGAAATTTATTTATTTTATATATTATTAGAAAATAAATATACCTGTAGTTAAACAATTTCCTTACAATAAATTTGGATTAAACAAAAAATTGTTTTTTTACCACAACTTTAATTAAATAATTAATTAAATTAAATATATAAACAACCCTACCAAAACAATTCATTTTTGGAGCAAATAAACTTTGTATTAAATCACATTAATATATTTTAATAAACGATTGCCTTATTTTTAATTGCACTTAATATACATTTTATATAATAAAATATATTTTATTATTCTAGAATAAATAAATAAGAAAAATAAAAAATATTTTAAATATACTTACTGCAAACTAAATAGTTCTCATTTTGGTGATTTTTTAAAATAAGCGAACTAAATAGCCAAAATCTTGCATTTATCCCGCTAGCAGGCTAAATAATCTATCGACACTATTTTTCCCGCTAGCGGGCTAAATGGACACAACGTTTTTTAAATTGATTACAAAATTTGAACAATATTTCTTACTTTCTTGAAGATCGGGAACAAGTTTATAAACAATATCTTGCATGGTTCTGTCGAAACTGATATATTGCAAAGGATGCGATTGATGAATAACTATTTGGCATGTTGGACAAGTGTGCTTCTCTTCCAAATGTTTGACTAAACAACTCTTGCAAAAAGTGTGTAGGCACTCGGTCACAGTTGTTGCGTCTATTAAATAGCCACGACATATTTTGCACGTTATGTGGCTATTCAAAGTTTTCAATTTGATTCGTCTCTCCATGGCACCAGTGAGCACCATTTAAATGGCCGGAGTTACCACCTGAAAATATTAGAAAATATTTAAATACCATATTCTTTATGTTTAGATATTTTCCAGTTGATTTCAATACTTCATTCAAAATAAACATTTTCAATTGAAATCATTGTTAATTCAGTTCAATATTTAAAATTATTTACTTTTTAAAAAAAAGAAAAATAGGTGCAAAATGTTTATAAGAAAATATCTCTTTAAATGTTGATTTTAATAAAATATATATTAAATTTATATTCACGCGTGAATAAGTATTTTTTGATGCATTCAGAAATTGTTTTGAAATAATAAACAATTACTTTTTATTTTTAAAAATTGTGAATATTCATGGAACTAGTGATACCTTTTGTTTACTATTAAAATATTAACTGAGTACTTATACACTTGATTGATTTTATTATAAGCTATATAATTTTCTTTTAAAAGTGGGTTATAGCATTCTAACCTCAATTGGGGTGGCGATAATTTTGTTAAAATTTTCACTTGTTTAATTAATTTCTCACTGGTATTTTTACATATGCACAATGCATTTCGAATTCCTTTTACGGCACATGTGGTTTTCAGTTAATAAAAATAAGGATTCTAACAAAAACTTTGTAAAAAAAAGCTTATTGTATTTAGTTGATATTTGTAAATGTGGCTGATAAAAAAAATTAACTGACCACAGCGCCAAGGTGAAAGGCGTTGAATAACGGAAGGTCTTAGTGGGTTTGTTATCTTTACCAACTCATCTCAGTTAATAACTTGCAATTTTAGACAGTAAAATATTATAATTTATACGTGTCTATTATTAAAATAAATACAAATTTTTAATAATATTATAATAGAATTATTTTTTTTAAACAATATGTATGCAATACTATGTAATTTTAATTCGAAAAAAGAAAAGTAACATTTGTCCACCAATTAGAATTTTATATTTTGATGGTACAGTGGAATTTATCCAATCGGTATTCAGGAATTATTCCTGTTCTAATATGTTCATTACTGTTTGAAAGTTTACCAATGACTAATAATTTTTGTAATAAAAAGGCCTAAGTACGATTTTTTGGATATATAAATCCCAAGTAGTTTCGAACATTATAGTTCCTCTTCATGGAATAAATTGAAAGTAGAAAATTACATAAAGATCGACGGAAAGCATTTTTTTGATTTTAATAATAACAAAGTTTTACACACTGAAATTATAACGATTGGAAAAGGAAGAAATTAGAAATGTTCTATATAAATAATATTACTAACAAATAGGGTGTCCTTTATGTTCATTTCATGAACATTTTGCTTTCTCATTATATGATGCAAAAAATTAACACTGAAATTAATATACATAAAAAAATTGTGTTTGTTTAAATTCAAGTTTAAACATAAAATTATTGTATTCCTTGCATTATAATAAATCGATTGGTATGTATGATATATATTTAAATTATTATTATTATTATTTAAATTGAAAGAGTTAATGAAAGTTTAAAAAAAGGAATACAATTATTTTATATTTGAACATGAATTTAAATAAACACAAAATTTCTTTGTTAAAATGTTAATTTTTTATTTTTTAACTTTCATTAATTGTTTTAATTTAACGCAAATGTATACTTTATACATACCAGTCGATTCGTTTCAATGCAAGGAATACAATTATTTTATGTTTAAACTTGAATTTAAATAAAAACACAATTTTTTAGCTAAGACGTATAAATTTTTTATTTCTTAAATTTCATTAATTTTTTTAATTTTATTCAAATGTATATTTTCTATATACTAATTGATTTGTTTCAATGCAAGGAATAAAATTATTTCATATATATAAACTTGAATTTAATTAAACACATCATTTTTTAGCTAAAATGAGAATTTATGATTTTTTTACCTTACATTAATTCTTTAAATTTCAATCAAATCTATACTTTATATATACCAATTGATTCGTATTGACGTAAGGAAGACGATTATAATATATATTACCTTAAATTTTTCGACTTAAAAATTTTTTCAATTAAAAAAAAAAATTTTGGAAAAAAGACGATAAAATTTTTTTTTTTTGGGGGTATTTTTAAAAATCCTCTCGTCATTTTAGAGAGATTAATGTGTTAAATAAGCCTACCAAATTTTACCCAAATCCATTAAAAAGATTTTTTCATTTTCCAGAGAAAACATTCTATCTAAAAAAATAGAAAAAAATTGATTATTCTTATTCTATTGCAATTTAGGTTCAATTGGTAGGTTTTTTTAAAGGTAATAAATGTTGTTTTAAGGTAAAAAAATAATAGTAACATGTTGATTAATTTTATTGGACTTTGAAAAGGATTTTTTCTTTTTCCAGGAAAACATTCTATCTAAAAAAATAGAAAAAAATTGATTATTCTTATTCAATTGCAATTTAGGTTCAATTGGTAGGTTTTTTTGAAGGTGATATTTGATGTTTTCAGATAAAAAAATAATGGAGACGTGCTGATTAATTTTATTTGACATTGAAAAGATTTTTTCATTTTCCAGGAAAACATTCTATCTAAAAAAATAGAAAAAAATTGATTATTCTTATTCTATTGAAATTTAGGTTCAATTGGTAGGTTTTTTTAAAGGTAATAAATGTTGTTTTAAGGTAAAAAAATAATAGAAACATGTTGATTAATTTTATTTGACTTTGAAAAGGATTTTTTCTTTTTCCAGGAAAACATTCTATCTAAAAAAATAGAAAAAAATTGATTATTCTTATTCAATTGCAATTTAGGTTCAATTGGTAGGTTTTTTTGAAGGTGATATTTGATGTTTTCAGATAAAAAAATAATGGAGACGTGCTGATTAATTAATTAATTAATTAATTTTTCATGTATATTTTGTTTAATTTAGAGTTACTATTCGAAAAAGAAGAAAATTTTTCACAAAAAAAAAATATGAATTTTAGAAAATCTGAGATAATTTTAATACTTTATAATTGAAGCATTTTTATCGGGTTCCTCTTTGATGAAAAGTTTCTATTTACTATTTTCTTTTTTTTAGTTTATTTTAAATGTTATTTTTTTTTTAAATCATAATCAGAACCTTATTTTCTAAATATGATTGATTATATTTTATAATATTTTTTATTTTACACATTGATGCTTAAAATTTGGTTTTATAGTTCAAAAATAAAATGATGGAAATTTTGAAAATTATTTCTATATATATATTTAATTTTGATAACACATTCATTATGATAGATATAATCATTTGATTAAATTTAGTTGCGATTTATATCAAATTGGCAGATAAAATTTGATTATACGACCTATTTTCAGTATACTGTGATAAAAAACAATTTTATAATAATTTTTTGAAAAAAACAAGTTCAATTAGCTATTAATATTAATGAACTATACTTTGAATATTATATTTTACTGAAACATTAATTCATTTTAAAGAACAAGTTCCTGAAACTAAAAGAGTTGAATAAATAATTATATTCTAATTTCAAAAATGCAAACAAAAAACATTTTATGCTTTATTATGAAATAATTATACTAATTAAATAATTGAATTTACAATTCTTGTAGATTAGGATACAAAAAAATTGTATTTCCGAAACAAACTAAATATTAAATTTGCAACAGCATTATGAATTTTTATTTATAATTTTCGATAAGCGCACAAAGTTCAGTATTATTTTGAAGATTATTTTGGAACAACTGTTAGCGAAAAAAGTGGTAAAACCAAAGTGCAACATACGTTAATTGATGAAACAACTTCCGCGAATTTTTTTTTATGATAAATATTTGCACCTTTATAGTTAAATTTGTTTAGGTATTCTTCAATCTAAAAATTTATTTTTAAACAAAGTTTATGTTTAAGAACACGTCTCAATTAACGATTGACTTTTAAAAAAATGTTTATATTTTATAACACGTTTCAGTCAATATTTCATATGTTTTCTGGCGTAAGAAAAATTTAATTATATATTTACTGATAATTTATAACTGAGATAATTGAAATAACAAACTATATAATTTTTAATAATTAATTAACAATTTTTGTATTATTTAATAATTTAAAAATTAACCAATCAGAAAATAACAAGATAATTGTGATTTGTTAATTTTTAAATTCGCTCAAATATTATTATTTTTGTAAAGATGTTTCTTTGGACAAATGAAAGTTTTGTCAAAATGAAAAATCATCATTTTCAGCAAATAAAAATTTCAAATAAATAAAGATATGGTAAAATAGAAATTCTGTTGTATTTGAAAATTTTTGGCTTAGTCGAAATTCTATTAAATGAAAATTCTGCTAAATGAATTATTTATTTATTAAAATATTTTCAATCATAAATAAAAAATTGGTTCAATTAAAATTCTTTTTATTTATTTATTTGAAACATAACGGGACATGTCCTTTCGTACAAATGTACGAAGAGAAATCTTTTATTTGAGACAAATAAAATTTATTTGAATAAGCAAATAAAAATATATTTGTCTCCTAAATTTTTATTTATTTTAAATAAAAAAATTTATTTAGTATACAAAAAAAATTTGTATTTAATTCAAATAAATAAATAAATATAAAATAAAATTTATTTCGACTCTGAGGCAAAAATATCAGCAAACATTCGTTAATTAGTATTATTATAGTATAATTAATTAAATAAGAAATTTTGTTAAATAAAATTTAGCTTAAAAATTCGACGGTGAGAAAATCAGCGATTAAATAAAAAATATAATTCACAAAATGCAGCTAAATTCGATCTTATCCCAGACAGCACGTAAGCTTGCAGCAACCTTGCGGCAAGCTTGCCACGCAATATTGCCAACTTTGCCGAAAGATTGCACAGTAAGATTATTGCAAGATTGCATGGTAAGCTTATCGAAAGATTGCAGTGTAAGATTGCAAAGGTCAATAATCTTCCCCAATCAGCACAGAAGTTTGGATTGAAAATGAGCACTATGCGCGCACTTACAATCACAAGCACCTACGGCTGCGCAGTAAATTTTTTTCACCTCCCAGGAACTGATGCTCAATGTATGTACAAAAATAAATTTCCTCCCCGCAAAAAATTTTTTGTTATATTCCGCAAGCTTGCCATAAGGTTGCCGAGCAAACTTGCGCGGCAAGCTTGCTGCAACCTTCTGTGCTGATTGGCAAGGTTATTTGGCAACCTTACACCAACCTTGCGATGAGCTTACCGTGCAAGCTTACTGAGCATTCTTGCGATATTCTCTTACTGTGCAATCTTGCAGTAACCTTACACTGCAATCTTTCAGCAAGCTTACCATGCAAGTTTGGGTTAGGTGGGACATTTGAAGCTTGCGGCAAACTTGCCATGCAAGGTTGGCAATATTGCGCGGCAAGCTTGCTGCAACCTTCTGTGCTGATTGGCAAGGTTATTTGGCAACCTTACACCAACCTTGCGATAAGCTTACCTTGCAAGCTTACTGAGCAATCTTGCGATAATCTCTTACTGTGCAATCTTGCAGTAACCTTACACTGCAATCTTTCAGCAAGCTTACCATGCAAGCTTGGGTTAAGTGGGACATTTGAAGCTTGCTGCAAGCTTGCCATGCAAGGTTGGAAATATTGCGCTGCAAGCTTGCTGCAAGCTTACGTGCTATCTGGGATAAGATATTCTATCTACAGGAAATTCGAATTTATGAATTTTAAGGAATATCCATGCATCTTTAATATGATTATTCAATTTAGTAACATAACCGATCGATTTCAGAAAAAAATGTTAATTATCTTTTACCACCTGGTTAGCATTATAATCAATGTCTCATCGATAGCCAGTGCAATTCTTTTTTTATAGCGATAACAATGTATAAAAAAAAAATAATTTCCATTTCAAAATCATTGTAAAATCTTAGGAACATAATCTTACCAATAATATATATATATAAAAAAATATATATATATACATGTTTCTTGAGCACGTTGCTCTCGTTATCAGGGAAGAAAATGCAAGACACGCTTTTATCTTGCATATACATATGTACATACATACACTTGTGGGTGACGTGGTTCTTTGAATGAACACAAGAAGTCTCATCAGTGAGACACTTATGTGTCAAATCAAAAGCCGATTGGACTTTGGGCGGTCAAAGATTGGATCGAGAAATGGTGGACAAGAGGAGGTCTCCTCTCCAACGTTCTTGTGGTCACAGATATATCGCTGACGCTTGGACGTGAAGATCATCAAAGAATCATCATCGTCGTCGTCAAAAGTTGAGAATGGCGTTTCAAATTGAAGAGAATTTTGTTCTCGATGCCGATACAAAAGCCTTAGCACTCAAGGAACTAAGGGAAACTGAAGACAATGTCAAAAATGGCATTACTGCTCTTAGAAAACTCTTGGAAGGTCAGTGCACATTTTACTGCCACCCTCGAGACTCAAAAAAAAACGTGCTATTTTGAAGAAATTAAAAAAAAAAATTTTTTTTTTTACTCACATTTTTTCTATTTTATTTGCTTATTCTTTCATTTATCATTTTGTTTGATTTGTTTTTTAATGTCATGAACAATTTTGATCCTCATTCGTTTCAAGTATAATATTTAATAACAAAAACGAGAATTCGGTTATTGTTTTTATATTCTCAACAAGTCAAATTTTTTTATTATTTTGTCCATTTTTTTATAATATAGAGAAGACAAATGAGAATGGATCATTGATCCAGTAATAAATTTCAATAATTGGTTCATTAAATGCAAATTTTTGTTCTATTCAAAATGTTCCCTTGAAAATGAATCTTTATATTTCACTGAAATATATTATTGATCTATTAAAATTTATTCCTAGTGCAAATTAATATTTATGATCCATATAATATTAAAATTGAATGACTAATCCTTTAAAAGAAGATTTTTGGTCCATTGCAAAAAAAAAAGTTTCATCCGATAATGCATTTTTGATCAATTAAAAAAGAATAATATTTTTCATATTTAATAATAATTAATTTATTATCAATTTTGGTGTATAAATTTTTGTTTCATTGAAAATAAATCTTCGATCTATATTGAAATAGAAAAAAATTTTGATCTATTTATAAATGTAATTATATATCTTCATTTCAAAAAATAGTAAAATAGAAACATTAATTCAATAAAGAATGATTTTAACATTTCAAACAAAACAAACTGAAGTGATAATAAATTAGAATAACAACAATTTATAAATATGTCATTTTCTCTATTATAAAGATTTTACAGTTTTTAGTCAAATAACAATTAAATAATAGAAAAATAATAATTTTCATATAAGAAAAAAAATGAGTTGTGAATTTTTTTTTCTAGAATTCATGAGTCAAATGTTTTTTTGTTTTGTATATTTAAATTCTATTGTTTGAAGACAATTTTTTTTTGATCAACGTAAAAAAGTAATGTACAATCAATTCCTAATATATTTTACAGTCAGATAATATTTTTATTCTTATCGGTCTTTTTTATAGGATTATTTTTTTTTTTTATCAACGCGCCTTATTTGAAATCTCACTATAATATAATTACGATTAGATACAATGTCAAAAATAGTCGCGTTTCTAATTACGATTGACACAAGATATTATTAATTAAAAGTTTTTCAATTCTTTTATTTGTTAACATTATTTATAATTATTTATTTATTGTTTTAAATGGACTTAAAAAATAGAAATAAAATAATATTATTTATTATAATAATATTAATAAAATATTGTTAATGAAAAAAATAACTCATTTCTTGTATACGTATATTTTAAAAATAATTTTATTGTACATATACAATAGAAAATATTAAATTTTTGTTAAAAATTATTTTTAGCGGCAAAAAAGTATAATTTACTGTTTAATTAACCTGTCGATTTGCACAGTTACTGTTTTCAACAAAATTATCATAAAAGTCTGAAAATATCAGTCAAAGGTCCTCTATTACGATAAAAGGTCTTTAGGATAAGAAATTGAATAATACGAATTTATGTACTGAAAAGTTTCTTCCTTATAAATTTTTCCGCTCTCTTACATGAAAGAAATTTCAATATAATTTTTATCAGAAATCTTTTGTACTCAGGTACACTGAAAAAAAAAAATTTATTTAATTCAAATAATCGGTTACTTGACTATTATATTAAATAAATATTTATTTGTGTATTAAATAATTATTATTTGAGCCGATTAAATGGTATTTGTTTAAAATTATTATTGGTTCAAAAAAACAGTTTATTTAATTTAAATAAAAATTATTTGGTTCAAGTAAATATTTATTTGATAATAGTCAAGTAAAACGATTATTTGAATAAAATAAATTTTTTTTTCACTGTAGAATTTGAATGAAAAATATTTTTTTTAATCGTAAAAAAATGAAGAAAAAAAACATATATATATATATATATACAAATCTACTAAAAAGCTATAATGATTAAAAATTAAATAGATAAAGTGATTAAATTATCTAAAATAGTTTTACGAAACAAAAAGAAATATTGATGATATATCACATAACTATAGTTTGAATAATGATTCTTTATTTAATGATTTTCAAAAAATTTGTAAGAAAAATAACTTTAAATAAATCATTATTATTTCTTAAAATAACATGTCATAAAACCAGTTTTTTTCAATGTACATAATATAGAAGGCTTCTTTTTTTTGTTGTTGTTAAAAAACATGATTTCTTTGCATCGAAACAAATTGCATTAGTGATGTAACAAAAAAATTGGGGAGACCAATTTTCATCTATAGCTTCCTATTTGCATGACTATAGATGTATCAGCCAAAACAGATCTAAAATTATCGGCCCTTTGACTCCTGTAAAAAATCAACAACTTTACGTATAATGTAAATTTTGACCTAGAGGATAATTCTTTGTCATCCTTTTTTTTTTTTTTTTTGATGAATTGCATCACGGTAATTTTTAATTTTTATTTATATAAGCATCCGCAATGAAAGATTAATTACTTTTGTAATTGAATTCACAATATTAATATAAATATATAATTATTATATTATTATTATTACTAATATTGTTTTTAATTCAAATTCTTATTAATAATAATAATAATAATAATAATTATAAACAAAAAAAAATGAAAATTGCATCTCAAAAGATGAGAAATATTTATATAATATATAAATTAAATTTTGCAAGCTTATAAAATAGATGGATATATAAGCGAAGGTCACATGAGGCCAATTTCTGCCATAATGATAGTATTATCTTTAGAAGTTGAATTTAGCATTTGTGCTTTTGCAATTAAATTAAAATATAAAAATACTCACCCACGTTAATCTTCAATTTTCACAAATTCTAAGTGAATATTGCATTTTTTCTTTTTTTTTTTTTAACTACCTGTATATGACAAAAGAGATGAAATTAATGAAACAAAAATTTTTTATTTTAAAAACACTATATAATTGTTTGTCTTTATAAGAATAAATAGTTCAGTGAGTCAATGAACGTAGCTTAACTATAATACAAAACATAATAATGTAAATCAGAAACAGTGATTCATTTTCACACACACACACATATATATTATGTTTTATTATTCAAACAATCGATATACGATAATATCAAACTGTTATCGTTAAGAATTTGAACTTTCGATATTTGCTTAAATATGTACCAACCAAACGTTTTGTTGTCAAAACCAAACCCTTTTTTTTCAGTGTAATCTTTTAGTTAAAAATAACTAATTATTCGTTAAATTCAGTTTCAGATTATGTCAATAAATAACTAAATTTACACATTTCTGGAAAATAATTCAATTATAGTTAAATTTCACTAATTTTTTTTAGTTAATTTTTCTAACAAAAATTAGTTATTTTTTATTATAATTGCTGAAACAAAAAGTCAGACAAGTTTTTACTAACAAATATAGTTAAATTTTTATTCATTGGCACAACAAAAATTTTGGTTAAATTATAATAACATTTTTCTTGTCTGATAAAAAATTGAAATAATTTTTATATATACATATAAATTTTAAAACTAAAAAAAGTTTGATTACACAAATAATAAGTAAATTTTTTCTCCTATCGATTTTTCCAATTTCATTTTTCTAATTTTAGAATAAATATTTCAGAAAATATACGCATTTCCAAAACAAAATTACTAAATCCTATTAATTTTTTTTATAATTTTCAAATGATCTTTTATATTTTATATGGACAAAAACTTTTTGAAATTCAAAGTGACAAATGATTTTTTTTTATATATATTCGGACAGTTTGTTTAAATTGAAAATTCTAAATTCTATAATAAATAAAACCATCCAGAAGTACTTATTGTCCCACAATTTTCGTGGTAGAAAACCATGTTTAATTTATAATTTTTTACTTTAATTTTGTATATTTAAAATTTTGAATAATACGATGTTAAAAATAAATTTTAGATTATTTATAGATAAAAATTTTGTGAAATGAAAATTAATTGCAAATCAAATGTAATAGAAAAAATAATTATGAATATATTTTTAAGGAAAAGTATATAAATATAAGGAAAAATGTTTATACAATTACGTAAAACGTTGGGGAATGAATTTTTTTTAGTCATAAAACAAAATATTTTTCTCGACACTGTTAAATATTGTGAAATTTCACCTAATTCAATTATTTATAGAGAGTAACATTTAAGATAATAAACTTTTTAACATATATTTCTATATATAACTTTTTTATACATAATAGATATACTTATTCAACATTGTTGTTATTTAAATAATATAATAATGACAAGTATTTATTTATAAAACATAGAAAACTATATATTATACATTATAAATGAATATTTCAAATGATTAAATTGTGTTGAATAATTTTAAAAAAGTAACGATTTCTCAATTTAATTTTTATTTATTATGAAAAAAAAGTCATAAATTTTCTTCATAAAAACATGTCAATATAAATGTTGCGCATATAAATATCAAAAAATTCCAAACTTTATTGCATATTGTTATAATGAATTAAATTATTAAAAATACGATATTTTTCATGATAATTCAATTTTCATAGAAAAAAAAATAATAATATACAATAAACAATAAACTTTTTCTAAATGTTTGTATCTTACGTATTATATTTATAATGTATAAAAATATTTGTTATGCAACATTTAACTATACACAATAGATTTTTATATATATCATATGATTTTTATTGTAAAAAATTATTTGATTACATTAGTTTATTTTTAAAAAAATTTAATTTTATAACATTTTTAATTTTTGATATTTTCTAATGTTTTTGTTTGTAAGAATCCTGACAAACCTATCGCAATATTACTTGAAAGTATTACAGGTTGCATATGCGTAGGATGCCTTTAAACATTTTGTCAATAAATAGAATTCTTTTCTCTATTTTTTCTTTATTTATACAATTTTATTTTTAATTATTATTTTTTATTAATTTTTTCTAATTAAATAAAATTAAATATTAATTTTTTTATTTATTTTAATTTTTTATTATTTATTCTATATAGGCATATTTCAGTACTTTACATTGATTTTCAAATTATATTTAAAAATTTTTTTAATTATTAGTTGTTTGTTAATTAAGTAGTTTAAAGAAATTGTTTTAATTAAATATTATTTATATTTATTTCAAAAAAAAAAATTTTATTTACGTTTTAATAAAATTTTATTTATACAAAATTTTTTTTAAATTTTCAGATGATACATCCCTTCACTTTAGAACAGACGATAGTTTTTTGATAATTTTTTTGAGGCCATGCAAATTCTATCCAGACAGTGCATACGCTTTAATGAAACGATGTGCAGAATTTAAACAAAATAACGCTTCGTTATTAAATAATTTAATGCCAGCAGATGAAAGACAAGCATTTCTCGAAAACAATGTTGTGAATGTCATGAAAAATAGGGATAATAAAAGAAGAAGAGTTCTTATTGTAAATGCAGGAAAATCATGGGATCCATCTAAAGTCAATGCTGATCAAATGTTCCGTATCTTTTACCTCATTCATGAAGCTGCAGTTCTTGAACCTGAAACTCAGGTAAAATTCAATTTTTGTTTTTAATTTATTATATAGGTATAAAAATTTAATTCGATTTTCAATTTATTTTTAATATTTTATATTATTATTATTATTATTATTATTATTATTATTATTACACTAAACAAAATTTATTTGACTAATATTATCAAATAAATATTTATTTGCAAGTAACCGATTATTTGAATCAAATAAAATTTTTTGTTAGTGTGTTAAAAATAGTATTAAAAATAATTATAATTATTCTATTTTTCTTTTACTTTAAAAGCTAAATGAAATTTAAAACATCTTGATGAATAAACTTTCATGTTAAATTTTATGAAAATTTGTCGAATATATTCGTCGAAAAATTATTATTTCAAGAATGATTGTAGTATTATTTTTTAAAATTATTTTATAATTTTTTTTTTTATATTTTTCTTTTATTAATTTATTTTCTAATTAAATGTTTTAATTTCTAAAATTGTTTTCTATTGATGTTACATTTTAAAATTGTTATTATAAAATTCAAATTCTAAATTTATATTCTTTTTTGAAATTTGCGATTTTTTTCTTGTGTCAACAAACAACTTGGCAAAAGTTTTATCATTTTCTCTGAGCATTAAAATTATTCTGTTAAAATTGAAATTAATAAAAAATTTTAAGTAATTTCTTCATGAAAAGTGGTTTTAAAATTAAAATTTATGTTTATAAAATGAAAATTTTGCTCTGGAGTATTGTTTTTTGGTAAATTTTGTTTTATTATTATAAAATATAGATATTTTACTTTTAGAAAAAATATATTTTATAAAAAAATTACGTTTACAGAAAACTATTTTCAAAATCTAAAGTTTTAAGAAAATTTTCTTTTAAAAAAATACATGTAATTTCGCTAGAAAAGGCTTTTCTTTTTAGAAAATAATATATAGATTAGAAAATATTTTTTTAGATAAAGTGACCCTCTAACATTTCAATATAATTTATAATAAAAAAAAAATGATGTTTTATTTATTAAAAGAAACAAAAAAATTTATTTTTTGAAAATATTTAGATTAAATTTTTCGTATTCTAACGTTATATAGAAGTAAATTGCACATCAAAAAGTTGTCTACTCAGAGCAATTTTTATTCGTTACGTAATAATCAAACTCTGTTATTTAACAAAAGTCAAATGAAATGGGTGAAAATCACGTAATGTATGATTTTTTTTTTTAAATAAATATGTATAACAATTTTTTTGTTTTTTTTTAGTATTTTTATTGCTTTAATTTTTTAAATTTATTTATTATATATTATTTTTTAAAATTTGAATATTTTTTAAAGAAACATCATGTAGAACAAAATTATTTATTGTTATAAAAATTGTTATTTTTATAGCCGATAATTTTATATTTCTGCAATTATCACACAAATCTTTTTTGATTAATTTTAATTACTTGTCATTTTATTTCAATTGTACTTTAATTTCTGATAAGAAGAAAAATTATAAAATGCAATTATTAATACTTTAGTCTTTTTCAGTCGCGTTTCTTATCACTTTATCTAATATTGATCAAGAAATAACTTTGAACTTTGAAACTTTTCAAAACTTTGTCCTCTCTGGTACCAGTTTAATTGAATTTATTTTAGGGTCATACATATACCCTTTCTATATACATATATATATATACATACCTTTGACGTAAATTACATTTTCTTTGTCCACGATGAAAATTTTACTCACGTTGGGATAAATTAAATTTTAAATAAAATAAACTAAATGAAAGTATTATACATTATTTATACAAAGTACATAATAATAATAATAATAATAATAATAATAATAATATTTTTTAGTAAATTTTCCATTTAAAAATTGTTTTTAATTTTAAAAAATGTGTTTTAATTTTTTAAAACTATTATTTATATACATATTATAGGTTCATGGCGTAGTTGTAATCATGGACTTCGATGGACTTTCCATGAAACAAGTTATGGGCTTGACACCTGCTTTTTGCATGCGACTTTTGACCTTTATTCAAGATGCTATGCCTCTTCGATTAAAAGAGGTAATTGCAATATATGAATATCGCAAATATTTTCCAATTTAGATTTATATTGGAAGTAAAAAAAAAAAAAGTTTAAATTTTTCAAAATGATTTATAATAGATTAAAATAATTCATTGAATTAAACTATATATATATATATATATTAATTAAAATAATATAATTAAATGACAAAGTAACATAGGGAAAAAATAAAGTTAAATAAAATAAAAAAATAGAAATGAAAAAAATTATAGTGGAAGTAAAATAAAATAATTATATAGAAAGAGAAATAAATAAACTACTTTTATACAGGTTCATTTTGTTAAACAACCATTCCTCTTCAATATGGTTTGGCAAATGTTTAAACCATTCGTTAAGGAAAAATTGAAGAAAAGAATGTTCTTCCATGGAACAAAAATGTCCTCCCTTCATACTCATATGGCTGCTAGTCATTTACCAAAGAATTATGGTGGAGATTTACCTGAAATTGATTACACAGGTGCTGATTGGTATCCTGCTATTCTTAAATACGAAGACAGATGCAAAGGTAAATTTCATTTTTAATTATAAAATTATTTATAATTTAATTATTTTATTTAAATTATAATTATTAATAATTAATTTCATTTTTTTTACAAGTTCTCGAATTAGTTAGCATATTTTTCTCGTATTATAAATACTTTATAGACAATTTTTAATAATAATTTATCAATTTTTATTAATTCATTTTCTTTAATAGACCAAAAAAAAAAAAAAACAATAAATTAATTAATATATCTATGATAAAAGCGATATACAAAAAACAATGAAAATTTACTCTTTAAATTTGAATTAGTAAAAGTGAGCTACTAATTCACATTAGTAAGAACTTTTACTAATTTTTAGTAAAATATTACTACACGCATAGAAAAATTTTGCTGTGGAGTCAAAAAAGTTTGCTGTGACAGTAAATTTTTAAATATTAAGACTGATATTGTTTATCACAACAAACTTTTTCGTTGTTATAGCAAAAAATTTAGCTGTGGTTACTAATTTTGATAGATCCGATAGCAAACATCAGTTAGCATCTGTATGCAATTCTTTTTTTTGCCGTGTAGTAGTTTTAAATTTTTTTACTAAAGTTTTAGTAAAATGTGACTAAAAATTAGTGAAAATTCTTACTAATTTAAATTAGTAGCTCACTTCTCACTAATTCAGATTTAGAAAATAATAAATAATTTAGAAATTTAGAAAATTTATAACAATTGCGAATATTAGTCAAAAAAAAAATTATACGATAAAATTTAACGTTTCGCGTATATATTAGATTTCACTTGCTTAGAATATGAATTTTATGCTAAAATCCGTTGTTAATACATAAATCATTATTACATCACACTGATCATAAAATTCAAAAGAAATCTGTAACTTGCACTTTAGACGTCAATATAAGGCAATGGACAATAAAATTTCACAATAAAAATTCTTTCAACGCCTTAAAAGTTAAAAAAAAAAAAATAACTTTTTCTTATTACAAAAAAAAGGTGTCAATTTGATTTTTGTTTGCAGAATGGAACACTTTTGGATTCCGCAATAAGTGAGCGAATCGCATCAGTTTCGTCCAATGTTCGCGTATATAATTTAAATGATAATTATCGATTCAACATAATTTTTATAGTTGTTGCATTTTTAAATTAAATAAATTTATTCTAAATTATTGTGCATACGAATTAGTATATTTGGACAATAAATTTATTTTCACATATAATACTGTTGTTTGTTAACATAATCCTATAATGATAATTATTTTTAATTATATTATTATTATTATTATTATTAAATTTTTAATTGCAAAAGAAAATTCAATTAACATTTTTATATATACAAAAATTTCTAGTTTCTGATAAAGAATTATTTTTTTTTTTATCAAAAATTATCAATTCAATCCATTCAGTATTTTACGAGAAAATTTAATTTAATTTTGGGGCGCATGATTATCCCATAAAAATTATATTAGCTTTTGAATTTTGATTTGAAAGAATTTTATTTGATATAATTATATTTTGTAGATGAATTTTTATTTTTCGTATTAAAAATTTGACACAATTTCTTTTTGAACAAATTTTTATTCTAACGAAATTCTTAAAACGCCAAATTTTTATTTATCCGAAATTGCAAATGGCCGAACAAAGAATCAACAGAAAAATTTCGGCGCATTTTTTAAAATTGACCAATCACGATTTTATTGCCAATTTCTGATTGGTCAATTTTAAAAAACGCGCCGAAATTTTTCTGTTAATTATTTGTTCGGTCATTTACAATTTTGGACAAATGAAAATTCGACGTTTTAAGAATCCAGAGGCCATTAAAACAAAAGAAAGAAAGAAAGAAAGAAAGAAAGACGTTTGAAGAATTCTGAAGAATAAAAAATTTGTTTAAAAAGAAATTGTGTCAAATTTTTGATACGAAAAATAAAAATTCGTCTAAAAAAAATATAATTTATATCTAATAAAATTCTTTCAAATCAAAATTCAAAAGCTAATATGATTTTTATGGGATAATCATGCGCTTCTTAATTTTGTTGGGAACTTCATTCTTTAAAATATTAAATCGATTGAAATATATGTTTTCTTAATTCTTATTCCTAAATTGTTAATATTATTCCTTCAGTGGATATATAAACACAAAAAAAAACAATATTCTAATTTTTAGAATAAAATTTTTAAAATATCCTTATTTAAAAGAACATATTAGTTTCATTTAGGATTATAATTATTTTAATTGTAAGCGTAAAATAAAATGTAAAATAAAAAATGTAGAATAATATTATTTCTTCAGTGAATACAAAAACACCAAACAAAAAATATTCTAAGTTTAAGAATATATTTTCAAAAATCGTCTTAAATTAAAAAAGATATTCTTATTTTAATAATGTTAATCTCATTTAAGATTATATATATATATATTCTAAATTGTAAGAATAAAATATTGTTCTTAAAAAAAGGAGCCAAGATTATATATTCTCAAAATGAAAATATCGTTCTTTTTCAATGATGGTTCTGTCATTTAAATGAAAATTAAATTGAATACTATATATAATATATGATTTGTGATAAAGGAGTTTTGATTAAAAATTCATCATCAGGTCAAATCTGTGGTATGCTCCATGGTCTTTCAAGCAGAATAAGTGGGGAAGGCGCAATACTTTTTACTCGTACTATTCTTTCAACTAACTAGAAGACAGTCTTCTCTGTGAAGTCCACCTCTCTGGTCATTTCTTGACCACAAGTCCTTTCTTTATACTTAAGTCTGCAAAATCAATGTTCGTTTGACAGTTTTTCTTGTATTGTTAAATTATTATTATTATTATTTGTTTGACAATTGTGCCATTTTGTTTGTTTATTATTATTATTATTATTATTATTTTTTTTTTTTGCAAATTTGCAAATACTAAAATTATTTTCAAAAATTTATCGATTTCTTTTTCCTTTATAAATTTATCGCATTGTAAAGAAAGTGTATAAAAATAATTTTCTATTTAAAATTTTTTTTTATAAATGATTGATTATAATTAATTGTTTGAAAAATTGAAATAAATTAATATATATATTTTATATAATCAACAAGTTGCATGTAGAGTGGATGTTTTTTTTTTTTTTTTACAATTTACAGCATCCGCATACAGAGTTGAATTGAAAGAGGCAAAAACGTAAACTCTGAAGTACTGTAGCATTCATCAACAACTCTAAGAAAGGAGGGTACGTTGACCTTTTACATTTTATCATTTTTTTTTCCGATGTACGTAAATTGAATTCAATTAAGCCATAAAATTTGTAATTTATAATTGTATATTCCATTTTGTTTTACAATAATAATTTTTTTTTTAAATTTATTTTCAATAGAATTTCGAGAAAAAAATATTTCATTGTTTATATTATTGTTAATGAAAAAATTAATATAAGTCTAGTGCTGGGAATTATTTGGCTTAATTGTTATTTTTAAAAAAATGTTTACTTTTAATTCAATATTATAGTTTTAATTTATTTTCAATATATATTAACAAATTTTTTGTTGGATTTATATTTGTTTTTAAATAATTTTTAATTAGTTTTTATTTCTATTGTTATAATTTATTTATATTTATACTTATTTTATTATTTATTTTACAAAAAAAGAAAATGGTTTATGTTTTTGATTTAATGTACATGTTACAAAATCATATGCCAATGTAATTATTGTAGACTGATTGTAGATTTTCTTATCTATAAATATTTAATCATCCGTTTGTATAGTATCTCAATATTGATAATAAGAAAATGCATTATGAAATAGTTTTTATTATTTAAAATTTACAAAAATTAATTGATTTATTTTAAGTAAAGTTCAATAGTTTTAGTATTTCATTCTCAAATAACAAAAAAAAACTAAATATATTTGAATTATAAATAAAAATAAATTTTTTTTCTTAGAAGTAAATAACTATTTATTTGTTTAAAATAATAATGTTGTTTTTACACAAATAAAAAATGTGACAAGCACTTAAATATCAAAATTTTAATCGTCTTTTTACAATGTTTTATTTATTATTCATATTTCATGCGCCTTTCAGCTTTGAACGGACTTTCGGTATACACATATAAACTTGTAATACAATATTAAATTAAATTAATATTAAAATATTAAAACATTAAACAAAAATTTAAAGATAAAAATACAAATTTAAAATTTTAATTCACTTTAATTAAATTGCACAATAATACAATGAAATAAAATAAAATGATCTATATATAATTGAACACAAATATATTTACAATGTTTTATTTAATATAATTTAATATTTTAGGGATTGATTATTCTCATATAAAAAGGACAAAAAAATTGACAAAGTTTTAAGCCAATTAAAAAACTTTTACTTTTTGATTGAAGCGTTTTGAAGGAAGAATGCTCTACGCATGTTGAAAAAGTTTTAAATTTAAAATTAAATTTTTAATGTTGAAAAAATGCAAAAAAAAATTTTTGAAATAAATAAAAAAATACATTGCAAATATCAGAGTGTCGTGATTTTTTAAATAAAATTTTTAAATCATATTTTAAAGGATCTTTACAAAGTTTCATCTAACAAAAACTATAATTATAAGAATTTACGAGTCATTCAACGTTAATGTTTACACAGAAAATAATTTCAAATTCAGAATATAAATTAGAGTTCAATAGTTTACATTTAAATTTAATTCAAGAGTATTCTATAATATTTCAGATACATATCTAATAAATGAATTAAATGAAAAAATTGGGAATTAGATACAATTTTTTTTTTTTTTTTTTTTTTTAAGAAATAATTCTTTAAATTTTAATTAGAAACCAAAGATCATAAATTATAAATATATATTACAATATTAATAAATAATAATAATAATTACATATTACAATATATGTTGCTATAAAAAAAAAATAAATTTCAAAATTATTATTTATTTATAAAAAATTTAAATTTTCAGACAAGTTTTTCCTTCTTCTTTTCATCATGACAACGGCAAAGATATGTAAACCAGGCACTCAACAATCGCTAATTGAGAGAGCAAGAAAAACACCGCCAATTAAATTAGGAAAACATTTAATGAAAATCGAGCCTGAAGATTTTAATGAATTTTATGCTGAAAAAGCGCTAAGAGAATTAAATGAAACTCCCGAAAATGTAAAACGTGGCTTAGAAGAATTAAGAAAACTTCTTAGAGGTAATATAAAAATTTTCATTTTTTTTTTTTTTTATATATATATTTTAAAGTTATTTTCTTTTTAAAAAAGTAACTTTTTTGAAATATTATACTTTTCCAAGAGGACTATTTAAAAACAAGTGTATTAAAAAAATAACTTTTTGAAAAAGTTACATTAATTTTTTAAAGTAACCTTTTAAAGTAACTCTTTGATGTATAAATTATTAAAGTAAAAAAAAAATTAATGTTTGAAAAAGTATCTTTTAGAAAAAGTTACTTTTTGAAGAAATTTTTTGGAGTAACATTTTAATGTTACTTTTTGGTGCAACTATTTGAAGTAATTTTTTAATGTTATTTTTTAAAGTAACTTTTTAATGTAACCTTAAAAATAAACAACTTTTCAAAAAATAACTTTTTATTTTATCTATTTATTCATTTATTTCATTTTTTTAAAAATATTATTTGTAATAATCGATCCATCATTTGAAATCAATTTTTTTTATCAGTTTATATGTATATATCTTTACGTTAATCTGGATTAACTCTTGGAAAAAAAAGTTTATTTCCACCTTTTATTATAAAAATTGACTTATAATAATTAGTAGTGTTGCAAGGTAAAATTGTATAATTAGATTTAATGCAAGTTCACACGAATTCAACTCCTATTGAAAAATGCATGATATAATAATTAAATGACGTACATATAAAATGATGCAAAAACAAGTCTTCATCAGTATTAACCTCGAGAAATATTAGAGAACTAATAAAACGATTTATGTGGAATTAATTTCCTATATAAAAAAACATTTACCATGAAATCGTTCTTTTTTTTTTTTTTTTTCAAAGTTCAAAAATCAAGGTGAATAACTTTCAACCCACGACAAACTTGACAGAAATATATTTAATTTATGAAGTAGGAATATTTTTAATATATGCACGGTTTTAATTTATTTTTTAAATATAAATGATCAATTCAATATAACGCTTCTATTATATTTAATAATTTAACTGTTTTATAACATTATTAATTATTTAATTATATTAATATTAACACAGAAAATTATAAGGTATTAAAATAAGCTGCAACGCTTATTATTTTAATCCAATTTTGCTTACTCTCTAAATCTGAATTAGTAAAAATGTTTACTAATTTGAATTAGTGACTCACTTTTTGCTTCTGAATTAGTAAAATTTTACTAATTATTAGTAACTTTTACTAACAATTAGTAAAATTTATCTAATTCAGAAGCAAAAAGTGAGTCACTAATTCAAATTAGTAAACATTTTTACTAATTCAGATTTAGAGAGTAAGCAAAATGGATTAAAATAATAAGCGTTGCAGCTTATTTTAATGCCTTTTAATTTTCTGCGAATTTGATTAATTTTGATTTTTTTTTAAATACTAATAAACTGAAGAAAAAATTATTTGATTCAAATAATCGGGTACTTGGCTATTATCAAAATAAACACTTATTTTGGACCAAATAATTTTTATTTGAATTAAATAATTTTTTTTCAGTGTAATTATAAAATTGAGTATAAATATTTTCAATCAAATAATTAAAATATTTTATTTAAAATTCAAGGTGAATAGATTGAAAAAAATTTATTTGGTATATTTATTTTGATCAAGTAATTTTTATTTGAATCAAATAAAACTGCGTATTCGTATCAATAATAATTTCTGTATTTGAAATAAATTTTTTTCAATTACATTAAATAATAATTATTTGATTCAGTTAATAATTATTTGATACAAATAAATATTTATTTGATAACAGTCAAGTAATCTATTATTTATATTTAATAATAAAATAATAAATAAAATAAATTTTTTTCTATGGTAACATTCGCGAAACCGTAAAAATAAAGTCTCAAACGAAGTCTACAAAGAAGTAAATGAACTCTTTTATTTTCTTCTCGTTTGCTTCATTATTTTTTTTTTTTTTTTTTTTATTTTGCGAAACGTCAGACGTTCTACTTTTCACTTTATTAGTTATTTCATCAATTTAATTGGATAATAAACAAAACAAAAAGAAAAAAAGTGGACACTGAATAGTTAAAAACCAGTTTTATAGCAACGGGTTTTTTGCATTTTACGGTCATTCACGTATAATAGCCTTGACGTCATTTCCCTCGACTTCGGTACATATTATGATTTTTGACGAAAGTTCAGTATTTCATTTCCTCTCGACTTATCTAAATGAGTCTTGCATGAATCTTATATGTACAATAAGCGAATTGCGTGAGATTTTGCTCTTTTTTTTCCTTGTGAAAGGCTTTTTTTTTTTTTTTGCTTTCCATCGGTTTTTTTTTCTTTTTTTTTTCCTCTTTGCATCGAATGCAACCATGTGTTGTAAGAACTAAAAGCGAAACGCATAAATCCGGTCACGCGTTGAAGTAACCAGAGAAAATAAGAGTGAAATTGAGAATAGAAAGAAATTCCTTTCATTTTTTTTTTTTTTTTTTTTTTTTTTTTTTTTGCATTATATTAATGATAATTGACCAAATTCAGAGAGAGATGGCAAAAAAAAAATAGTAAATATTTTCCTTCATTTCAACAATCGAATGTTTAATTCATGCCAATTATTTTAATTACGTGCATACACACATATACAAATTCATGAATTAATCATTTAAAACTTTCATTAAAATCAATTAACTAAAATATGATAATTTTTTCTTTCTTTCAATTTTTATTTTTTAATTGGAAAATTTTTTTAAATAAATTTTTAAATAATTAAATTAAAAAAGTTGTTGATAATTAATTTGGTTAAAAATTGTTTTTTTCGGTTTATTTTGTTTTTATTTTTTTTAGTGATTTTTTTTTTGAGAAAGAAATATGAATCATTTTTTTTTTTTTTGTTCGACTGCCAACGAATTGTTGGATTATCTAATGATTCCGTTGTGATTATGTAAAATGTATATATGGAACGAGGTTAACAAAATTCCATAAAATTGAGAAGTACACATTTTTGGACGGTACTTTGCATCATTGAGTACACTCGAAAGAATTGGAAATGTTTTTTTTTTTTATGTGAATTCAACTGATTACGAAACTAAAATGATTCAAAAAATTCTTGTTGACCTTGATAAATATATATTTTATTCTCTTTTGTTTTTACTGATAATGATATACTTATTGTAAAATTATTGGCAAACAATCACGATTATTGGTTGATTAAAATAAAATATATTTATTAATAATAATATAATTCACTTTTTTACTTACACACTGTCGTAACTTTTAATGATTTGTTTTTTATTTTTGAAAATAAAATTGTATATTACAGTAGGCTAAAAAAAAAATTGTTATTACTATTTTTATTAATTAAAAAACAAATAATTATTTTTATAAAGTTTTGAAGTTTTTTTTTTTTTTTTTTTTTTTTTTTTAATAAATTTGGTAAAAAATTTTATTCGTTTCACATTTATATATTACATCTCACGATATTAGTTATGTAATATTATTTTACAATGTAAAGGCAATAATCTTTAAGAGTTACTTAGCATTATGGTAATAATAATAACTTTGCGTCTGAATATTTCGTTGAATAATGCACACACTGTTTTGAAATCGTTCATTCAAATTGAAAATCTACAAAAATTTTTTTGTTATATTTTATTTATATTATTATTTATTTGAATTGTATTAAACTTTTATTATTTCTTAGATAAATAATAAAATAATACAATTCTATAAAAATTCAAAAAAAAAAAAAAAATTTCTCTCTTATTCTGTGTAAATAAATAATTGCAATAAATTAATCAAATAAATTATAACAATTTAAAATTATTATATAAAACTTTTGTTTCCGGAACATTTATATACATTTATCTTTTTCTAATTATAATTGTATTATTGGCATCTACTTATATTGTTTAGGATATTTATTAGAGTTTTAATGACTTTGAATTTGATTTCTTGAATTCACTGCCGGAAATGTATAATAACTCTCAATGTATATATATATATATATATGTTAAACATGAACACAACGTACTGCAGCAAATGAATAAGAATTCATTAATTATAAAAATTATTATGTAAATCATTGAATTTTGTAAATAAATAATTCAAGTCACGCACTTAATTTTTGAGAATACTATTCAATAATAATCAATATTTGTATAATGTAAATTAGTTTAATAATTATTATTGTTATTTATAATTTATAAAAATAAAATTAAAAAAAAAAAGTTTGGTTTACATTGAACAAATTTTTTTTTCTCTATAGTTATAAAAAATTTTACAATAAAATTTGGTTAATTATATCAAAGAAAAATGTACTTCTATAAATAATTAAAATTAATTATTTTAACAATATAATAGATTTTTTGATGAAAACATTTGTAGAGGATACCAACTTTGGTGTTGAAACGTTGTGAAATTTTTTTTTTATTAATTTCTTTCACAAATAAAAATATTCAGATAAACTCTGACTTCTAAATGATTTTGATTATTTATATTTACTTTTTTTATTAAATAATTATATATATTGAATTTAAAGAAATTTATTATATTCGTTCTAGAGGAACCTGACTTGGTGATACTGGATGAAGATGAATTTTTATATAAATTCTTGAGACCCGTTAAATGGGATGCAAAAAGCACTTTTGATTTAGTAAATATAAAAATTAAAATTACCATATTAAACTATTGAAACCAAAAAGAAACTGTAAATTATTGTATAAAATTATGTGTTTTTTTTTTTTTTTTTTTTTTTTGTTGAACAGATGAAAAGATTTTATTTATTCCGTCTCAATAATCCACGATATTGCAAAGCGTTGATACCAAAAAATGAAAAAGCTGTTTTGGTATCCGGTATTTTAACTTTCCTTCCGGAACGTTCAGATGGATGTAGAATTTTAATAATTCAAAGTGGCAAAAAATGGAAGCCAAAACAAGTTACGTTGGATCAAATATTCAGAGGTGTAATGTTATGCTTGGAGGCGGCCATGTGTGAACCAATTACTCAGGTGATTTTCATAATTTTAATTAGGCAAATTTTTTAATTAACTTTACAGAAGAAACTTTGGTTCCTCTTAATTAATTATAATAGTTGTATTATTTATTTTATAATATATGATTTTATATTATTGCAATTTGACCAAAAAAAGAAAAAAGAGTTTTTGTTATTTAAAAAAATTCCCTTTTCTCCGACTGCAAATTGTTTATAATAAGAAGAATTATTTCTTTCTTTCGGATCGATAACAACCATTTTTCAGACAATGTCACATATATATGATTTTAATTAATGAATCCTTTTTTTGTTTTGTAAAATTGGATCCGTATTTCTTAGGTTTCAGGTGTTCATGTAATTTTGGATATGGAGGGTCTTAGTTTAGGTCACGTGACACACTTTACACCAAGTTTTGCAAGTGCAGTTTTGGAGTGGGTTCAAAGGTGTTTACCCTGTCGACTCAAAGGTGTCCATATTGTCAATCAACCATACATATTCAACATGGTTTTCGCTATTTTCAAACCTTTCATTCACGTATGTAAATTTCTCTCTTATCGCATAATAATATTCATAGATTTTTATCATCTATTTTAATGAAAAATAAGTTGTTTTTTTTTCAAATTAAATGGTTTTTCTCAACAAAAAAATTATAAATAGGTATTAAAAAAATTTTTCTTTTTTTTAGGAAAAATTGCGAAAAAGGATACATTTTCATGGAACAAATAGAGAATCATTGTTAGAGCAATTAGACGCTAAAGCAATTCCAACTGAATATGGTGGTAGTTTTAATATGCCAACGGAACCAATTGGTGAAGCACTTTATGAATATTTTCAAGCATATGAAGAAGAATTTCAAGGTATTTTATTTTTATGCAAAATTTTTAATAAATTTTAAGAAAGAAATTTTAATTAAAATTTATTTTCTTTTATTGCAGCGGGCTGTACTTGGGGATATTCTTCAAAAAGTTAAAATTCAATTTTGAATTAAAAACAATTTTCTTTTAAATAAACTTTAGTATTTTTTCATTTTATCATTTGTTGAAGTAAACAATATTAGAAATTCTATTGTTAGTTTTGGATATAGTACAAATTTGAATATTTTTTTTTTTTTGTCAAGTTTGTACAGATCCTAATATAACTATATTATTTTAGTAAAATACTGAAAAGAAAGTAATTTTTGGGAAAAATATTGTCTAAAAATAAGATATTTAAATAATTATAATATTTAATTTTAAAAGAGAGGTCGTTTTTATTGAAACTTAAAAGTAAATAATTAAAATTAATTATAACATTCCCAATGATTATATAAATTTATTTACAATTTCTATATATATATATATAATATATTTCCCAGATTAGATATTAATATATTAGAAAATTTTTAATTATAACAATAAAATATTTTAATGTACTTATATACAAATATCAGATGATTTTATTAAATACACTTATATATTTATTTGTATATATACATATATAATTGATTTTTGATACATTATTTCCATTATTTGTAAATTTTGATAAAAAATTTTGTTTCATTATTTAATAATATTCATATATGTATAATCGTAATAAAAAAAATTATTATTTATATAATATACAATACTTTTATTATCAATTAAAAAGATTTTGATATGTATTTATAATGTATAAAAATTGTTATTGAGAATAAAAAATTATTTGAAACTAATTTACCGACATTTATTTTATCAAATCAAAATTAATTTAAATATTTTTTTTTTTTTTTTTTTTTTTTTTAATGTAAGGACGTTGTGAAGAGAGCATTTTTAAGTATTATAATTCATTATAAACTATATATAATATATACTTTTAAAAAAACATTCGTAAAAATAGAATGTTTATAAAATGATTTTTTTTAACATAGAATAATTTTTTAAAATTATTATGCCATAATACATTAATATATATATATATAATACACAACAAGAATAATATTTTTAACCTTTCCAAACTAACCTTTTTTTGTATTAATAATTATATTATTAAAATATTATTAAAACTATATAAATTTTTTTTTTTTGCCACACAATTGGCTATATTTTTATCACGATATTAAAAACACAATATAAATAGAAATATACACTAAAAAAATGAGCAATTAAAGGCAGTTGAAGGATATGTCTTTTTTTTTTTTAAATTCGAAATTTTGAATCTTCAACTATCAAAGAAGTTTTCTCCAAAGAAAAGAATTTTCGTGAAATTTATTTTTTCTTGTAACCGTAAGAGTTGATAGCTAAAAATAAAGAACGTTTTTTTTAGTAATTGTGTATAATTAAAATAGGAATATTTATAATAATAGAATTTGTATATTAGAAATAAAAGATAATAATTTAATAAAAAATTGGAATTTTTTAAAATATTTAATTACCATCAAATTCCTTGTCACATTTAAGTAAAAGTTCCAGCCACTGTGGTCCAGATATTGTTGGAATATCTAAAGTACCTCCGTAACAACTTGGAAGACTTTTTGGTGACATGTGCTGATGCAAAGATTTTCTATCAGTACCATGGAATATTATCTGTAAGCAATTTTTAATTATTGTATTTGAATTCCACTGAGAAAAGCCAATAATTTTTTTTATGAATAATAATTTAATCATTTTTCACTAAAACTTTAGTAATATATATATATATATATATATATATATATATATATACCCAGATAACCAAGCGTACTAATCGTTATTTACGAGTACGGCGTACTAGTATTATACTAGTTTTATACAAGTACAAAATAATTATATATGTCGTACCAGTACGGTACTAGTACAATAAAAGTATGTCGTACTGTTAGAATTGTAAAATATGATTACTCGATAAAAGTATAGTACTAGTACAATACCAGTACGTCGTACTTCTGAAATAAGAAGCACAACATACTTGTACGATACAAGTATAATACTGGTACGTCGTACTGGGAATCTTTGCTGGTAATGCCAACCCAACCTCACTTTCTTGACAATTGTCAAATATGAACGCGTCACTGAAAACGGTGCATTAAATGTTGGTGAAAAAAGTCGTTTATGATGCAGCAAAAGAGTTTTAACGTTTGTAACTTGTGCTTCTGTACTCATCTTGAATATCCGAGATTAAATTTATATTAAATTATCGATCTTTATAAGATTTATATTCTTTTACTTTGACATGCCGCTTTGTGCCATGGTGTTATTTCATTGAAGAACATCAAAATCTTTTCTTTTATAATCTTTTTTATACATTTATATTGAGATAAATTCATAAATTCGGTCTTGATCATATTGATATATTTTTAAATTCAATTGTGTGTTATTTCGTTATAGTTTTTCTTATACATATAACATATTTATAGGTTAGGATGTGATAATATGTTTTTCTTAACATCAAAGCAATTTTAAACATCAAGTTTAAAATTCTTTTGAAATAATGTTTAAATGTAAACAAATAATTAATTAATATTTGATAAAGTTAAGTAATTAAAATAATATAAAACACCGGATATTTTAAGATAAGTGAGAATACAAGTTACATATATTTTATATAATATATGCAAAGACATATATCATATAAATAAAAAAAATTATTGAATAAAAATAAATAACTAAAAATGAATTATTATTATTTCAGGTCTCCCACGGATTTTCTTTTAATAATAAATTAAAATAATTAAAATACTATTGTGGGATGAGAAAGGGGAGGGTATATAATATTTTATATTGTACATCATACATCATACATCACACCATGGCACAAAGCGGCATGTCAAAGTAAAAGAATATAAATCTTATAAAGATCGATAATTTAATATAAATTTAATCTCGGATATTCAAGATGAGTACAGAAGCACAAGTTACAAACGTTAAAACTCTTTTGCTGCATCATAAACGACTTTTTTCACCAACATTTAATGCACCGTTTTCAGTGACGCGTTCATATTTGACAATTGTCAAGAAAGTGAGGTTGGGTTGGCATTACCAGCAAAGATTCCCAGTACGACGTACCAGTATTATACTTGTATCGTACAAGTATGTTGTGCTTCTTATTTCAGAAGTACGACGTACTGGTATTGTACTAGTACTATACTTTTATCGAGTAATCATATTTTACAATTCTAACAGTACGACATACTTTTATTGTACTAGTACCGTACTGGTACGACATATATAATTATTTTGTACTTGTATAAAACTAGTATAATACTAGTACGCCGTACTCGTAAATAACGATTAGTACGCTTGGTTATCTGGGTATATATATATAATGTATTCCACGCCAAAGTGTAAGTTAAAAGTTTCGTAAAAAGAAGTAGTTTTTTTAACAAAATTTTGAAAAAAATCGATCAGTACGTCAAATAAGAAAAATGACTTTTTATCATTAAAACTCAAAAATTTGATAATAATATCGTTTAAAAAAATTTTCGATTTTTTTGTTGAAAAGTACGTTTAAAAATACACATTTTGAAAAAAAGACTTTTAAAATTAATGCATTTTTAAGGAAGTTATGAGCATTCAAAAATTAAAAGTCATGAAAATTCTCTAATTTTCAAAATTCCATAACTCGAAAACGGCTTGCTAAAAAAATTTTAAAAAATTCATGAAAGCTAGTCTCAATTAGTACTAAAAGAAATAAAAATCTCAAAAAAAAACGGAGATGCAATTTCAAATGGACTTACACTGTGGCGTGGAATAGAATTATTTAGAGAGTAAGAGAAGTAATATTAATGAATATAATATTAACCCATTAACGCCTATACTTAGACACATGGAAATATTTGCAATATCAAATTTGGAAACAGGACTGCGGTCCAAACAATTACTTTTGACGTTACAAATTGTTTAAAAAATAATTAATTTAAACAAATTGTTGAAAACAAATGGCAAAAATTGATGAATTTTAAAAATCTAACAACGCCATTAGATTCTACGGGAAAAATTACTAAAGTAAAATGTATGACTTTTTCAAAATTTTTACTCTATTTGTCATAAATAATTTATAAACAAAAAATGCACTGTAGTGCACCTATCAGAGCCCATAATAAGACACAAGAAAATATCTGAAAAATCGAAATTGGAAACAGAATTGCGGTCCAGACAATTACTTTTGACATTAAAAATTGTCTAACAAATAATTTGTTTAAACAAATTGTTGAAAACAAATGGAAAAAATTGATGAATTTTAAAAATCTAACAACGCCATTAGATTCTACGGGAAAAATTACTAAAGTAAAATGTATAAATTTTTCAAAATTTTTACTCTATTTGTTATAAATAATTTATAAACAAATAATGCACTGTGGTGCACCCTTCAGAGCCCAGGATTTGACACACGGAAATATTTGCAATATCAAATTTGGAAATAGGACTGCGGTCCAAACACTGACACTTGACGTTAAAAATTGTTTAAAAAATAATTTTTTTTAAAATTCATTAATTTTTTTCATTTCATTATAACTATTTGTTTAAACAAATTATTTTTTAAACAATGTTCAACGTCAAAAGTCATTGTTTGTACCGCAGTCATTTTTCTAAATTCAATTTTTCAGATATTCCCTTGTGTCTTATTATGGGCTCTGAAGGGTGCACCACAGTGCATTATTTGTTTATAAATTATTTATAACAAATAGAGTGAAAATTTTGAAAAAGTCATACATTTTACTTTAGTATTTTTTCCCGTAGAATCTAATGGCGTTGTTAGATTTTTATAATTCATCAATTTTTTCCATTTGTTTTGAACAAATTGTTTAAACAAATTAATTTTGTAAACAATTTTTAATATCAAAAGTCATTGTTTCGACCGCAGTTCTGTTTCCAAATTCGATTTTTCAGATATTCCCTTGTGTCTTATTATGTGCTCTGAAGGGTGCACCACAGTGCATTATTTGTTTATAAATTATTTATAACAAATGGAGTAAAAATTTTGAAAAAGTCATACATGTTTCTTTAGTAATTTTTCCCGTAGAATCGAATGGCATTGTTAGATTTTTCAAATTCATCAATTTTTTCCATTTGTTTATAAGAATTTGTTTAAACAAATTATTTGTTAAACAATGTTTAATGTCAAAAGTAATTGTCTGGACCGCAACCCTGTTTCCAATTTCGATTTTTCAGATATTTCCTTGTGTCTTATTATGGGCTCTGAAGGGTGCACTACAGTTCATTTTTTGTTTATAAATTATTTATAACAAATGGAGTAAAAATTTTGAAAAAGTCATATATTTTACTATAGTAATTTTTCCCGTAGAATCTAATGGCGTTGTTAGAATTTTAAAATCCTTTATTTTTTCCATTTGTTTATAACAATTTGTTTAAACAAATTATTTGTTAAACAATTTTTAATGTCAAAAGTAATTGTCTGGACCGCAACCCTGTTTCCAATTTCGATTTTTCAGATATTTCCTTGTGTCTTATTATGGGCTCTGAAGAGTGCACCACAGTGCATTATTTGTTTATAAATTATTTATAACAAATAGAGTGAAAATTTTGAAAAAGTCATACATTTTACTTTAGTATTTTTTCCCGTGGAATCTAATGGCGTTGTTAGAATTTTAAAATTCATTATTTTTTCCATTTGTTTATAACAATTTGTTTAAACAAATTATTTGTTAAACAATTTTTAATGTCAAAAGTAATTGTCTGGACCGCAATTCTGTTTCCAATTTCGATTTTTCAGATATTTCCTTGTGTCTTATTATGGGCTCTGAAGGGTGCACTACAGTTCATTTTTTGTTTATAAATTATTTATAACAAATGGAGTAAAAATTTTGAAAAAGTCATATATTTTACTATAGTAATTTTTCCCGTAGAATCTAATGGCGTTGTTAGAATTTTAAAATCCTTTATTTTTTCCATTTGTTTATAACAATTTGTTTAAACAAATTATTTGTTAAACAATGTTTAATGTCAAAAGTAATTGTCTGGACCGCAACCCTGTTTCCAATTTCGATTTTTCAGATATTTCCTTGTGTCTTATTATGGGCTCTGAAGAGTGCACCACAGTGCATTATTTGTTTATAAATTATTTATAACAAATAGAGTGAAAATTTTGAAAAAGTCATACATTTTACTTTAGTATTTTTTCCCGTGGAATCTAATGGCGTTGTTAGAATTTTAAAATTCATTATTTTTTCCATTTGTTTATAACAATTTGTTTAAACAAATTATTTTTTAAACAATTTTTAACGTCAAAAGTAATTGTTTGGACCACATTCCTGTTTTGAATTTTGATATTGCAAATGTTTTCATGTGTTAATGGGCGTTAATGGGTTAAAAAATAAATAAATTATGCTAATTAATCTATTTATAATTATGTAATTAAAAAAATTTGTTAACCCACCCTTGATTTGAGTTTTTCCCTTAAAAATGGTTTGAAGAGATTGAAGACCACATTGAATATATAAGGTTGATTAACGATATGTATATTTTTAATTCTCAATGGAACAGCATCCTGAAGCCAATCAACTATTCTCTTAGCGAATGGTGGTGTGAATTGCATTGTTTGCTGTAGTGACAATCCATCCATATCAAATATAACAACTGCACCGGCAATTTGCGACGTTGGCTCCAACATTGCTGCCTCCAAATATAAAACACAACCCTTAAATACTTCATCGAGATTACATTTATTGTGTTTCCATTTTTTGCCTAATTCTATTATCAACATTCGTCGTCCATGTTGATCACGATTTGGCAATACAGTGAGAATATTGTGTTCGAAAATATTTCTCTCGTTACTTGGTTTAAGACCTAAATAAACATTGGAATGTTTTACTTTAAAACTATAATAATTTTTCACTAATTTCGCTGCTGACTCGGGATAATATTTGCATGGTCTCAAAAATCTTATGAGCCAAGCCTCATTTTCCAATGGACAATAGAGATCGGGCTCGGCTGAAAAATTAAAAATTTAAATATTAGAAAACATGTTTTTTTTTTTATAAAAAAAAGAAATATAAATTATTTTAAAATTATTATTTTTACTAAAAAAATTTTATTATATTTATAATTTAATGAAATAAATATATATAAAAAAAATTATTATTTATAGAAATTGAAATAGTAATTTATTGTACCTCTAAGTATTTCCTGTAATCGAGACATTGCTTCTTTCTGTAATTCTGGAGATTCCCTGAGTTCTTGTCTTGCAACTTCTTGAAGTTCAGGACTCGGTGGACCAAGTTCAAATTGAAGAACGAAATTACCAACTTTGATTGATGGTAATTCCTCCACGTCCGACAGCATTATGTCTAGAGCAAAAAATGTATTTTGTTAATCACAAATTACTTACATATTTAATTAATAATAATTTGATTTAAAAAAAAAACTTATTATTAATATAATGTAAATTTAATTTTACTTAATTAAATTTTATTCATAGAACATTTATAACCTCATCCGATTTCCTAGAGAGTAAATTAAACTTGGAAATTGGTCTAATTACTCTTATTTGAAATATTCGATTACGGAGAAATTGAGATGAATTTCAATCAAAATTAATTAAAATTAAAATAAATAATTATTAAAATGAATAAAATTAAAATAATTAAAATTAATTAATTAATCATAATTTTCTACTTTAATAAAAAAAAATTATAAAAATAAAATTAACAAGTTTTTTTTTGTCAAAAAAGAAATTTTCTTACTTGGGTATGTTAATTTCGTTATTCTGATTTCATTGGACATTTTCTATAATAAAAAAAGTTTTCCGTGACAGAAAAAAAAAAATAATAAACAAGCCTACAAAGTATATACAAAAGCGATGTGTACAATTTGTAGGAACACTTCGTAATGAAATTATTCTAATCAATATCTATCTTTTAATTGCTCAACATTTGATACTTATATTTTTGACCTTATCATATACATATATTTTTATCATCGCACAGACATCATATTAAGAGAATTTCTTTTCGATAATTCATTGATATTGTACATTGTACCCAAGTGATTATATTATATTATATTATTGTCAAACAATCAATTATTCTGATTTTATAACAAAAAAAATTAATTAATCTCAATTAGAGTTATAATTTCTGTTTATCTATTAAAATAAAAGTAAATAAAAAAAGTGATTCTCATAATTACAGTTATATGTATAGAAGAGGGTATAATGTAGTTCTTCAATAAATAAACAATTGAGAATTTTACAAAATTGTATTAAATAAATAAACAATAGTACCTTTAATAGGTACTATTGTTATTTTACTGTATTACATCGAATTTTCTTCTTCTTCTGCAAGAGAAGAAAATCTATCAAAAACATTGATGATGAAGAAAAAAATAAAATTGAAGAGTGAAAAAAAAAAAAAAAATTGGAAAATATATACATCAGAAGAAATATTTATGATGCAGTATTTTAATTTGCACAAGATTAAAAAAATAGCATTTAAATGCAAATGAAATCGATACTCGAGGATTTTGCAAATTAATTTCGGTTCAGTGAGTGCGAAAATCATATCTGATAAATGAAATTTATGTTCCAAGAAGATTATACCTATATATGGATTACTGTCATATATATATATATATATATATATATATATATATATATATATATATATATATATATATATATATATATATATATATATATATATATATATATATAATATGTATATATATATATAATATGTATATATATATATATATATATATATATATATATATATATATATATATATATATAGTCAAGGCTGTATTGAGAACCACGTGATTCAATCATTTGCGTCACAACAGCAAGAAGATTGATACACATCATTAATAGTCCTTACGCGAAATGTAATGTAAGAAGACCTTCAAATTTTAATAATAAAATACTAAATAATTGACCCTACGAACTTTTCTATTGCCTTGAAATGAACATTTTTAAAGGTGAGTTATATTAATTATACATATATTACTATTTCATTGAATTGAATTAAATAATTACTAAAGATTACTTAATTTTTCGAAATTATTATTATTATTATTATAATTATTATTACGTCAAGATTTTGATATAATCTCAAAAAATGTTTCAGTATTTTGTCTCGCATTTCAAAGAAAACATATTTAAAAATCATACCAAATTTTTTTCTTATTCCTTATGACTCCTCTATAACAGAAATTCACTTGAATTTTTTGATTTTTGTCAATTTGGTTAATAATGACAAGCTGTCCCCATTTACCCTGAGTTTTCAAATTTTTGGGGTAAATGGGGACAGCTTGTCATTATTAACCAAATTGACAAAAATCAAAAATTCAAGTGAATTTCTGTAATGGGAGTCATAACGAATAAGAAAAACAAGTTGTAAATTCAGATGTTCATTACATGAACATTTTGCTTCCTCTTTACGATCAGCAAAAAAATTTGCTTCCTCGTGGAGAAAGCAAAATTTTATTGCCAAAATGTCAATTTTTGATTTATATATATCGATCGATTCGTCTTGACGTAAGGAAAACGATTTTATTATATATAACCTTAAATTTTTCTATTTAAAAATTTTTTCGATTAAAAAAAAATTTTTGGAAAAAAGACGATAAAATTTTTTTTTTGGGATATTTTTCAAAATCCTTTGGTCAGATTTGAGATATTAATATGATAAATGAGCCTACCAAATTTTATCTAAATCCATTAAAACCTGTTAAAGTTATCTTCTAAACAAAAAAGGGATCCACACACACACACACACATACACACACATACATACATCCGGACAATTGATCAGGATCTCATATAACATGTTTCTATAAAGAAAAAAATTTGTTTCCGCCACTTTGAAAAGTTTTATAAATGAAAGGACTACAAAGCTTCCTCCACGAGGAAGCAAAAGGTATAATTTTTAAGTCTGTTTTTTTCAAATGCGAGACAAAATACTGAAATTAAAAAAAAAAATAAAAAAATTCCAATTGTTTCAACTATTACATATCTACTAAAAAATTTTTTCAAGTTTTTTCATCCCTTAATACAGTAATATACTTAAGGAAACTTTTTTCTTAAAACTTTCTTAGAAACTGTGCTGTCCCCATTTACCCCGAATTTTATGAAATTTTCTAAATTTTGGGACAAATGGGGACAGTCAGTTTCATGCGTTTAAAGCTTATCTAAATTTTTTCTGCTGCATAAAATTAATCCTTGGAAAAAAAAAAAAAAAAAAAAATAAAAAACAAAAAAAAATAAAAAAAAAAATAAAAATAAAAAAAATAAACCCGCAAATATTATCTTTTAAAGGAAGAAACTTATGTAATTTGTGAAAATTATAGCGATTTTGTCCCCATTTACCCCAACTGACCCTAAGCCGAAAAATTTTTATTTTTCTATATGTAGCTATTTTATTATTCTATAATGCTTAAATATATTATATCAATAATGCTATAAAAAAATTAATTGATATTTGCAATTCTTTTGGGAAAATCGTATAGGAAAATTATTCTTTGTTAATAAACTTATTAAAGAGTAATAAATAATACTTAAAGATAAACAGTATTTCAATAATTAAATAAATTAAAAAATTATTTTATCACTCGATTTATATTAAAAATCTTTGAAGTTTATAGATTATTAATAAATTTTTATTTATAATTAATTAATAAATTATAATACTGATCAGCAGAAAATTAAAATGACTAATATTAACTATGTTTAAACGAAACTATATGCAATCATATTTAATAAAAGTTTAATAAAAATTTATTTTAAAATAGAAATGTTAATTTGTTCATATAAAAGGTTCTTTGTTTATATATATATGTATATATATTTTTTTTCTGAAAATTGCAAAAAACTTTCGTTATCATTGAGGAATTTGTGATAAAGAAACAAATTATATATATCTATATATTCAAATATTTGCAGGAAATGATAAACTGCATAAAATAACATATTCATTATATGTGTTAAGACTATTTGAATATTATTAACAATAAGTAACAATAATTGTTTATTATCATTTTTATTGTTACAATATAGTAATAAAATAATTAATTTATAAACAAACTGATAATATTTTTTTTTTATTTTGTAGTAATTTTCTGTGAATGCAGTTTGTTTTATTTGCATTAAAAAATTAAATAATATTATTATTTTTATTTATATATAAATTTTGAAACAAAAAAAAAAAGTTTTTTAATATAGAAACTATATGTTCTATTTTTATATAATTAATACATTTTTAACATTTATTTGTGACGCGATCTGAAGAAAGGGACCTTAGAAGCAAAAAAATTATAGGTTACGTTTTTAAATTTTAAAGTAAAAATACCCAAAAACGTTCAACTCGTAATGCAAACTAATGAAGACCTAAAGTCTTCATTACATCCAAAATATTCAATAAAAACTGATTTCAATTTAAAAAAAAAAACAAAAATAAACTTTTATTTCAAGTAAAACTGTCCTAAACATAACCTACAATTCATTTGCTTCTAAGGTCCCTTTCTTCAGATCGCGTCACATTTGTTACTTTTAATATTAATTTACTTACTGAAAATAAAAAAAATATTTGTTTGTATTACTTTTAGAAGTAAATATTTCTACTACACTAGCGACAAGTAAAAAATTTGTATTTATTTATTTTTTATTACCTACACTATAATACTTAGGTAACAGTTTTAGTCTCATTTTTGCGAAATGTATTTTGCAATTTTTTTTTAGAATAGAAAATATTTTTCATTTTTCTACAAACATTATCATAAAGAAAGAAATTTGTCTATACTTTAAACAAAAAACAATTTTTCTTTTTTATTTATGACAATATTCTTAAAAAAAAAAAAAAAAAAAAAGTATGCCTTGCCTCATTTACTTACATGCTACTTTTAAAACGCAATTGTGCACAAACAGTATTGAGTTGTAAATTTTTCTATATCTAGTGTTGTATAATTAAAAACAAAACTCAGAAACAAAGATAACAAAAACAAATGAAAAAGTATTATTTTCGACATAATAATGACAATTTTGCAAGAAAATTTTTTAAGACAGTATTTAATTTACATGTAAATAAATAAAAACAAGTTTATTATTTTATAAATATATATCTATAATTTAAAAAAAAACAATGACAAATAAAAAAATTGCAATTTAATAAATAAATATATATATAAATAAAACAATAATAAACTGTACAAACTGTCAAGTGAAAAGGAGAAAAAATAAATCATTTTATTAAATAATAAGTAAATCATAAGTAAATTAATTAAATAAACTAAGTGAAGAAATCGAATAAATATAAATGTCACAATAAATACAGTACTTTCGAAAATCAATACAATA